TGTAATTTAGCTTTGGGCATTGAGTCTCTCCAGTATTTTGTACTATTGTAGCACAACATTTTAGTCATATTACATTCACTACAAACATGGATGGAGTTTAGAGGTCCTATATTAGGAAAAATTGACTCCTGTGATCTTTAAGCCATGTTATAATGTTACCTCTTCAAAACATACCTGGAGTTGTCTTTTGTTTCATTCACACAGGTTTGAGTAAACTTTTATTATTAATTTGTCTAGATCTCCAAAGCTGAAAATGCTCTGTTCCACCTTGTGATGTCATGAAGCGGTAGTTAACAAGTTAACAGCTACCTTTTAGCTATTGTTTAATAATTTAGTAATTCCAGGGCTGAAATTGTCCAGATGATTCTAATGAATGTGTATGGAGATTAAAAACACAGGGAATTTGCTGCATTATCACATGACATCACAAGTGTTTTCTGTATGAGAGAAGAACTCAGTCTAAGTATGCAGGCTTGTGTGTTAAACATGTGTGAATGAAACAAACCACAACTCCAGATACTGTATGTTTTTGATGAGGAAACTTTATAACATAGATCAGAAAATTGCATAATATGGGTCCTTTAATGGATTAAAAAAAAAACAAAGGTTTACACTTTAATCACAGGTTCTGGTTGATCCTTGGCTTAAGGTTTAGGCGTGAGCAGTGGTTTTCCAAAGTGTATATTCTGCCACCCTGTATTTCTCCAATGATGCTACACGTGACTAACAGGTTTTCCTCCTGTGTCTCTGCAGGTGACCCGCTCTGAGCACCTGAAACTCAAGTCTGGACATGGCCTGGACCTCCCTTGTGTCCTTTTCTATAGGACACTGCGTCATGTCATAGAGGCTCTGCACAAACCCAGAGTGAATGAATCTTTGCCAAAACGCAGCTGTGCTCTTCTCCCCCACCATCATGAGGAGCAAGTATTCACTGTACTACAACAGGAGCCTGGTGCAGTACTACTATGTCTACGCCAAGAACATGACCAGTCAGGAGGTGGCAGAGCGCACTGCACAGAAAAATACTGGGTTGAATACATTAAACATTGTCATTGTGATTCTTTGCACCATTATCATATTGGAGAATCTCCTGGTGCTTATTGCAGTCTTTCGCAACAAGAAGTTTCACTCAGCAATGTTTTTTTTTATTGGGAATCTGGCATTCTCAGACCTCCTGGCTGGTTCTGCCTTTATAGCTAATATTTTTCTCTCAGGGGCAAAAACTTTCTATCTGTTCCCTGTTCAATGGTTCATCCGGGAAGGCACAGCATTCATAGCTTTGGCTGCCTCAGTCTTCAGTCTTTTGGCTATAGCCATTGAGCGCTACATTGCCATCACTAAAGTCAAAGTGTATGGCAGTACTAAAACCTGCCGCATGTTCCTGCTGATTGGAGCATGCTGGGTCACCTCCATCCTACTCGGCGGACTCCCCATTCTCGGCTGGAATTGCATTGACAATCTCCCGGACTGTTCTGCGGTTTTACCACTCTACTCCAAGAAATACATCCTATGTGTTGTCACTATCTTCAGCATTATTCTGCTTTCTATTGTGATCCTGTATGTGAGAATATATTTGATTGTTCGGTCCAGCCACCAGGAGGCCACAAACTCACAGGCCTATTCCCTTTTAAAGACAGTGACTATAGTGTTAGGAGTGTTCATAATGTGCTGGCTGCCAGCCTTCACCATCCTCCTGCTGGACTCCTCCTGTAGGATACAGTTGTGTCCAATCCTCAACAAAGCAGAAATGTTCTTTGGCTTTGCCACTCTAAACTCAGCACTTAACCCCATCATCTACACCCTGCGCAGCAAAGACATGAGGAAGGAGTTCCTGCGTGTGTTGTGCTGCTGGGGGGTGCTTCAAAGTGGACGCCCCGCTGACCGCTGCCTGGTCCCACTAAAGAGCTCCAGCTCTCTGGAGCACTGCACCAACAAAAATGAACACCAGACCATGCCCATCATGCAGGATTGCACCACGTGTGTCTAATACAGCACACATCAAAGTGCTTTTGGGTGAATGAGCACGTGAGACGCTATGAGGCCAACCGGCTGCCCTTCAGGGGCGAACCAAACAGGGAGTTAATCCCAAGAATGGATGTGAAATGAGCCTTCTATTGGGTATTCTTTGGGTACTAATTATTATGGAGTTACAAGCCATTTCCAGTATAAACTTGTCATCTTATTTTTCTTAACATAAACATTGTAACCATAAAATTGTAACATGCATCATGTCCATATTAAAGTGGGTGACAGACAAGGTTGCAAGTACTTGTTAATGTTTTACCATTAGGTTAAAACAGATGTCTCCACTTTACTGATGTTTGTAAAATGGGCCCAATCTTTACTCTCATGCTATTCTGAGCTGAAGCTAACCAGTGAATTGAAGCAATATACTCCCATATAACTTTGCTTGAACTATGTGATTTACTACAACTTACATATTGTGCATATATGTAATGCATGAATTCTAACTCAATTCTATAGGTGTGTATAATGTATTCCACTTCAGTTTCACCACTAACCTTCTGCCCCCATTCAAACCTGTAACCTGTCCCTGTTGCTTTAACTGTAGTTTTTGTACCTTGACTGTTTCCTTTGAGGAAGGCCTTATCAGAAAGTACATTTCCTTAATTAAGTGGCACTGATCAATTTCACTTAAAGAGAGCTGTTCAGCAGCTCTGACCAATGGGACTGATGCTCTATAAACTGTAGCAACTGCAATGTACTTTGTCGGTTTTGCCTTCCTTTTGGGCAATAAGGCTGAATGTATGTATGAAGTGTTTGGGGCAGGTGCTCCATTGTTGACAGTATTATTGTTAATTATCAATGACAAGCAGAGAGTGGGATGGACAGGGTAGGCTTACTCTCACTGTGAAAACTTTTAGCACAACCCATTAATGAGCACACCAGCTCAAGAAATCTGTAAATGTATCACATTTCCGTTGTGACCATATAACTCCACTGGAGCAGATCCGTTTTTAAAGACATACAGTGACGTGGTCTTTTGGGAGGTCGTCTACAATACTCTACTTCCTTTGACTCGAGGAAGTCCCGTTAAACACTGTCCGGTTCCTGTTTGGGGTTCACTCTCCCTCTTCATGCGACTCCCTCAGTGTTTTCATTAATGTAACATTTCAAACTCTGTTTAAAAATGATAAAAAGCACTTTGGCAGCTCCACATATTTGCTTTCCAGCAACACAGAGAATCTTATTTCAATGTGTTGCCTGACATTGTTTTGCCATAAATATATCTAATGTTTGTACGTCTTACAGTGTGTATGATTGTGTTGTCTTGTGTGCAATAGCCTTGTATGTAGTAGCACGCTGCCTTTGTTAAACTGGTACAATCTGAAACACTAATGTAGGTACATGAATTATGTTAATTACATTCCGTTTTTTATAAAATAAACAAAACATTTTGAATCTGGCGTCTCATTGTTTGATTCTGTGAGAAAACTGATTTGAGGTGTGATGGCAGCTGCAGGTCCAGAGATGCCTCTCTTTTGTGCCTGAATCTGAGAAGTCTGCAAACCCAGCTAACGCCAACATGCTCCAACAAAGTCAGGAAAACACTCACTTCAATACGAAGGTGGAATCGTCTTATGCAAATCCTACTATTAATCACTGTTCACTAATCTAGACTCTTTTAAATATTAAACTCCTTTAAGACAGACTGAGACATGTCTGGTGGGAAAGCCCACAAGTACAAGTACAGTGGTTTAATGTCTGTTTGTGAGATATTTTGTCCGAAATAAGCATTGAGGCAGGCCCCAAGAGAGGTTTATGCTTTGGGGGGAGACTCGGGGTGAAGGGAAAGGATGCCTTCAAGTGGCCTTGGGAAAGTTGGGTCTGTTTCCTGTCAGACATCCAGGATTCCTGGGTGGGAACATGGCTGAACCAGCCCCAGGAGGCTGTACTGCTGGGACCCCAGCCAAGTCTGTTCAGAGCTCTGCAGGATGTGAAATAAGCTCAAAAACCTCAATCTGTTTATGACATGTTTCATTATATCCAGTCAATGATTTATACACCTTAGTCTGATAGCTCTGGTAGACGTGAGCTGCCTTAATTATTTTTACAAGATTATTTCTTTCACTTCAAAATAGATCACACTGCCATTATTTATTTATTGAGCTGGAGTAATACCTGGCCTGATTATTTAATGATGGTGATGGGAAGTTATAGGCCCAGTGGAAAAACGTCCTCCTCCGGTTAATTTGTTCTTGTTGAGATTCCTCTTGGCTGGTGCTGCCCTATGAATCTTAAACCATCACACGTTTGGGACAATGGCGCCCTCGTGTGGTAAAATGTACGAATTCAGCCATGTGAGTGTTCAATAAAATACTTCATCGACAAGACAGAGCAGGAAAAAATATTTGTGAAAGTAATGCAATGGGTGATACTGATATTCAGTTACAATCATACACTCCCTGTTGTATGTAAACAAGTGATCATCTGTTCCCCGCTTCTTTTGTTGCCCTTTTCCATAATTACACAACGACAACTGGCTAAAAAATATCTCGCATCTGACATAATTAATCCACAAACAGCAGTCTGCCTATTCTCACCAAAACATAGCATAGCATAAACCAGAACAATGCCTTCTTCAAGTGACGACAACAATTTATTAGGGGTGTTCAAGCGATTAGCTAAAAAAAAAAAAAAAAAAAAAAAAAGCCTTAAATAAAAATGCTTGCTGCAGTATTTTAGTTTTGTCTGTTATTCATAGAGAGGAGACTGCAGAACTGTTCATTTGTAAACAATACTGTCAAATTAACTACTTCCGCTTGGGACATTAGTGGTAACATACGGGGAGTTCTTTTAGGTTTGGATCTTTTCATCAAACATATTTTTAAGGTAACTGATATATGCTAAAACATACGATAATATAAATACATTTAAGTGTATTTTTAGTTGTGGTTAGAGTTAGACATATGAATATGATGATGTTTTAAGCGTTAAAGGTTAAAAAGCCTCCCTATACAAGCTTCAAATGGTAGGGTCCACAACACCCGGGAAAAGACGGCCCGCGCCCGAGCGCTTATAGCATCCATTGTATCAGTCATCAAGACCCATTCAGGCACTCTGTACGAACCGGGACTCTCCCAGCGGTTTTTAACTTTGATTTTATCCATTTTAAATCAATTTTAATACTTTGTCTCTGTGTAATTGTTACAATGCCAGCCAGCACTTCCATGTCACTGCCAGAGGATGTCAGGAAAAGGTAACGCTGCTTCTAAGATAAGTAAATAAAGCGCTCTATGACTCGTGTCTTCACGACCTAATGTTTGCTGTAGTTTTAAAAGCAGCTGATCATTTGGTGTATGCATATTTTTCATTCGCCACTCTTGGCCATGTCCCGCTAGCTTGAGTGGTACCGAGTTAGCCCTCATAACTGTTAGCATGTAGCCTGTCAAAGGAAAAAACGGCGTGGTGGATTTGGCGCCACTCAAGTTGTACAGTTTTTTGTGAATGAACAGCGACATTTCGTTTTGATAAGCTTGATTATAAATACACGGTATACATTTTCATTGCGTTGCATTAATTACTTGGGCTGTTTGTCCGCAGGCTACAGGTGCTTGATGAGGATGGAGTTTCAGATGAGGTGGGTTTTGTTGTTGCCTTAAGCACATCTTTACTGCTTCAGCTTCCGTCACATAAGACGTGTATCATGATTCACTGGACCAACTCCATGTTCGCCTGACTTTCCCAAACAGTTTTATTCTTGATTCAGTATTGTTTCATTGTCTGCTCAGTAGCATTCATGCACTGTAGTCACACTTTTTTCCATTTTCAGGATCAGGTGAAGGAGAAACTGAACTTGTTGCAGGACTTTCTGAACGCCAACACTCTGGATCAGCTCAAGAACTTGAAAGAAAGGATGACTAGTTCTGAGATTACAAAGGTGAGTGTTGTAAAATCAGTTGTGTATCTTTGCAAACTGCTTCTCTAATACTCTATCTGCTATTTGAATTCAGGAGGTCTATCTCTCCAAAGTCAAAGCTGTGTTGGGAAAGGAGTTGTCCCTTGAAAATGGCTCACATGTTGATGGTGTGGAGCAAAACGGGAACTCTAATGGCCTCACAAATGGGTCTCATAAAATTGAAGACAATGGTGATGCAACTATGGAGGAAGATGAATCTGAGCCGCTCAAGTCACCTGGAGCTCCTAAAGGAAAGGGTGGCCGCAAGAGCAAGGCAAACTCTGACTCTAAAAGTTAGTATATTTTGTGTGGGTATTTTATGACAAAGCTTAATTGAACTGATCTCATCTACTGGTTTCTATTTAGAGTCCCCAGCAAGTTCTAGAGTTACGAGAAATGGAGGCAAACAACCAACCATTATGTCCATGTTTTCTAAAATGTAAGTATCTTTCGTTAATAAAAAAAAAAAAAAAAAAACTCTCCTGAAGTCTTCTGAATATTCTGGTCTTTAGTCAAAAACGCAAGTCTGAAGACTTGAATGACGAAGCTGTCAATGGTCATGAAGAAAAGAAGGAAGATAATGACGTTGAAGAGGTGAAAAGACCAGTGATGTGTGATAGCAAAGGGTTATCTGCATTTGGGGGTAACTTTTATCCTTTTGTTTTTTAGATTCGTGAGGAAAAGAGGCTTAAAGTAGATGATGATGATCCAAAGTAAGTTTCATATTCTGTAATAAACAAAAATGAATCATTGTTTTATCTAACACTTTTGCAAATGCAGACCAGCCCAAGAATCAAAGCCTGATGTTACAAAATCTGTTGCTACTGCAAAGGTAATAGAAAGTCGTAATTGGTGAATTATATGAAGTTGTAGAAAATGTGGCTTGATTTTAACTGGGGTTTTGTTTTCAGACCCCTCCACCGAAGTGCACAGACTGTCGGCAATACCTGGATGACCCTGATCTGAAATTCTTCCAAGGGGATCCAGACAATGCTGTAAGTGACACTGGCTATTTTAAGCATTTTTAAATTATCCAATTCTAAGTATTATCTATAATTTTAGCTGGATGAACCAGAAATGTTGACAGATGAGCGACTTTCTCTGTTTGATTCAAATGAAGATGGCTTTGAAAGCTATGAGGATCTGCCACAGCACAAAATCACTAATTTCAGGTTTGAGGCCCAACATAAATTTATAAGAAAATATTTAGTTTATTTATAAACTGTTTCTTTTTAGTGTGTATGATAAGCGGGGTCACCTTTGCCCCTTTGATTCTGGTTTAATTGAGAAGAATGTGGAGCTCTACTTCAGCTGTGTCGTCAAACCCATCTATGATGATAATCCATGCATGGACGGTAAGAAAACTCAGTACACTGGAACATTATACAGCATGTGGTACACCTGTGTATTTAATCTGCTGTATCTTCAGGTGGTGTTCCTGCCAAAAAACTAGGGCCTATAAACTCCTGGTGGATTACTGGCTTTGATGGGGGAGAGAAGGCACTTATTGGTTTCACTACAGGTATTCCATATATAAATCACATCCACTTAATAAGGTTTTCAGTTGTTTATAACAGCAATTATCTCTGAAATGCAGCATTTGCTGATTACATCCTAATGCAACCCAGCGAGGAGTATGGCCCCATCTTTGCCCTGATGCAGGAGAAGATCTACATGAGCAAGATAGTTGTGGAGTTCCTTCAGAAAAACCCTGATGTCACTTATGAAGACCTTCTCAACAAGATCGAGGTGAGATTTGTCCTGTATGATGCATGCAATTTAAATCACCAGCTGATCCTGACAAATGTTTTTTGTCCTCAGACGACTGTGCCCCCTGCAGGGCTGAACTTTAACTGTTTCACAGAGGACACTTTGCTGCGTCACGCCCAGTTTGTGGTGGAGCAGGTGGAGAGCTATGATGAGGCTGGAGACTCAGATGAGCAGCCAATCATTGTGACTCCCTGCATGAGGGACCTCATCAAGCTCGCTGGAGTCACTCTTGGCAAAAGGTGGGTCTTTTCTCAAATTAAGTCTGATCAAATCTGATTTTAAATGGAGGGTTTCTTTTGAGTAAAGTTCTCCCCTTTTCACTTTACTCTGCTTCTCTAACTTGTCCTATACAGCATGCTACTGTACTGGTACGTAGGCCTTTCTACAAATGCTGCTTGTTGTGCTGTTTTATGTGAAGCATGTCGCATTTCATGTTTCCTGCTTTACACCACACATTTGTAATCTTGATCCCATATTTACCTTATCAGATGACTGTGGAATGATCATTTTAGAAAAAAACATTTGTCTGAATAGGGCTGGGTACTGGGAGTCTGGGTTTATTTGGCTTTGACTATTTTTCGTGAGCGTTGTTTCCATCATGGACAATGCTTTTGTAGTAAAGAATAGTGATATGACGATTATGAAGCAATCATTTTCTATTAAATATACTTTATCAGGGGCTACATGGATGGCCATTTATGAAGGAAAAGCATTCATGCCCTTCATTAGTTTGTGTGAAGTTTAGATGTGAATGTATTAATAGAATGATTCATGTTTATCACAAGCAATCGTAAGCGGTTTGAAAACTGCTAGTGTCCAGCTATGTAAATGGGAAATTGCAAATGAGGTGTTCTCACTTGACTTACCTGGTAAAATGTTGAATGAATGAAAAAAATGTGTGCATGTGAAATATAGCAAAGTGTTGTGAGCTCAAAAAAAGGGTAAAAGTATTTAAATACCAACTTGCCACTTTTCATTTTGAAAATTGGCTACCCATGCTATAATTTGTTTTTTGAAAAATATATTGTTTCTTAGAGAAGTCTATTACTAAATTAATGCAGCCCTAGTGTAAACAAATAAAATGAGGTTGGCCCGCTTACATGATCACGTGGACAGACACGTGATAAAGTTTCATTTTCGGTTTGTCATAGGCGGCAGTCAAAAGCAGCGCGGCACATGGCGTTTGCGGGTGTTTGTTTGGGAAATATGCTCTAACCGGGACAGAAGGATGATTATAGCAAAGATTGGTTCTAATTATCAAATAGGCTGTAACATTGCAAGAAAATGCGCTGCACATAGGATATCCATCGTTAACCACAACGCCCTACCGGCAACATGCCTTGGAGGCTCCGCGCTGCAGACTTCATGCTTTTTGGAGTGGATTCATTCCTGGGCTCGTTTACTCAGCTCTTCTGCTTACCTGTGAGACACTAGACACTTTAGTTGGGCACATGTTATAATGATTGATGAGCGCGCCAGTTTGTGTATTGTAGTCATGGTACTCCGTGTTGTCTTGATGCATCAAGTCTACGCGGTTTATTGGCTCAATGACTGGAGGATTTTTCTCTTGACTTCTTACTGCAGGAAACTGTTTTGTCGACCCTTGTGAGCCTTTCTTTGGGTTTTGAAGCTGTTTTTAAGTTCACAAAACGCTTTGCCTTAATTATTTTATCCTATGTTTTATTGTCCTTTTTTAAAGCTTTATTGCGTTTTGGTACCCAGCCCTGGTGTATCTGAACTAGCCAACATCAACATGTATGCATAAGACTAGTGCAGGAGTCTCCAACCTTTTTGTCTTTAAAACGACATATTAAACCAAAATGACAAGGCTACACGAGTAACTGGAGCTTACGTAATGCAGTACATTTGATTGGATTGTGCTGTGTCAGGTCTGTGAAAGTTTCCTGATTCAGTTTAATATGTAAAATACTACTGGTACAAGTTGGAGACCCCCTGCTGTAATGTATAACATTTGATTGTACAGCTTCAGTGTTTGATTCAGTTGTTTCATTGTGCATGGCCTGATGTGTTCACTTGCTCCATTGAAATGCATCTGAATTAAACTTAAATATATGATATTTTAACACAGGAGAGCAGCTCGGAGACAAGCCATTCGTCATCCCACAAAGATTGAGAAGGACAGCAAAGGCCCAACTAAAGCCACAACCACTAAACTTGTGTACCAGATCTTTGACGCGTTCTTCTCTGACCAGATCGATCAGAATGATAAAGAAAATGGTCCAGTTAAACGTCAGCGCTGTGGCGTCTGTGAGGTTGGTAACTACTGATGAGATATAGCATTTAATCTTCTCACATTTTCTCAAAATTGGATGTTTGCATGATTTCAGGTTTGCCAATCTGCTGATTGTGGAAAGTGTAGCGCCTGTAAAGACATGATTAAATTTGGAGGAAGTGGCAAGAGTAAACAGGCATGCAAACAAAGAAGGTACTGTGTTTTTGGGCTTTGGTGTTCATCTGGATCCTTGTACCAGAATTTAAAAAATGTTAATCTACATTGAAAATCTGTAAATTAGATGCCCCAATCTGGCTGTTAAAGAAGCTGAAGATGATGAAAACATTGAGGAGGAAGATGTTCCTGTAGAGAAGACCAAAAAGCCCTCTACAACAAAGAGGAAGAAGCAGAGCCAGTCAAAGCTTTCATGGATTGGAGAGCCTATTAAGGTTTACTTTCTAGTATTCACTCAAGCAGTGTACAACGGCTTAATTGCCATCAGATTGTGGGGATGGTAATTGTTTTGGAAGTCCTGTAAACCTGTACTTTTTTTTTCCATTTTAGGCGGAAGGGAAAAAGCACTATTACAGGAAAGTCTGTGTGAATGATGAGGAGCTGGAGGTGGGAGACTGTGTTTCTGTTTTGTCAGAAGACCCATCTACTCCTCAGTATCTGGCCAGGTATGTTCTCAAATGGATGAAGATTTGGATCTGTTAAAAGATTTAATATTTTGGTTCATGTGACTGGCAAGATTATTAGGTCACAGTATAATCTTTGCTGCTAACATTCTATATTCTTAAATCCAAAATGGGTGGTTTCATTTTATCAAAAATAAATATTTAAATGCAAATGCCATTTAGGCCGATAGAGCAATTATCATGACAGGACTATAGGTTTTATTTTTTTATTTTTGTTTGTGTTTTTTGGTTTTCTCCCAATATTTAGCGTCAATATTTATCATGTGTACTACTTTGCAGTATTGCAGCTAATACGATCTTTAAACAATATTGTAAGTTTTTAGAATTTGTTTGTGGTTTAAATCTCTTGTTGCGTTATTATGAGTTAAATAAATTGGTTTCAGTATTTATTGTTTATATACACTTCAGAATGTGTTATGGTGACAGATGCAGTACCACTATATCTGGCATGTTGATTGTCACCATGCCATCCCTAGTTCATCATAATGCGTCTAAACATTTCCAGGATCACATCACTCTGGGAGGCAAATGGGGAGAAGATGTTTCATGCCCACTGGTTTTATCGAGGGACAAACACTGTGCTGGGGGAGTCATCGGACCCTCTGGAGCTCGTCATCGTGGACGAATGTGAAGACATGCAGCTCAGCTACATCCAAGGCAAAGTCAATGTCATGTACAAGGCTCCATCTGAAAACTGGTTCATGGAGGTAAATGTCCTCACTACTTGTATGGTTGGCATTAATGTATTTTTAATAACAACTATAAAAGATTGTTGTAATTTATAAAAACGCTACATGTTGGGTTGGATTATTCTAGGGTTGGGATGTCAAACAGATTGACCAGTATCAATAGTCACACAAACATGAATATTTTAAAAGAATGAACAGGCCTTTTTTAATCAATCCATATGCCAAAAGGAACACTTGGTCCATGCTAAAGCTAACATTTGTCTTGGTTTAGCTGGCCACATACTGGAAAATTTAATTACTGAATTACACTGTATAAATCAGGGTTTCCATTTTCATTTGCAATTACGTGTTTTAAAAATTGAAATTATTGTGAGAATATATTCTCATTCCAGGGTGGCATGGATGACGACATCAAAGTCATTGAGGATGACGGCAAAAGTTTCTTCTATCAGTTTTGGTATGACACAGACTTTGCCCGGTTTGAAACTCCTCCCAAGACTGTTCCCACAGAAGACTCAAAATTCAAGTAAGAACAATGGATAAAGTTGTACAGTTTTGTCAATTTAAGTTTTCTAATATATTGTGCATAATTTTTGGCCAGGTTCTGTAGCAGTTGTGTTAGAAATAAGGAAAAGGAAGAGCAAGCCACACCTCGTGCATTTGAACCTTTGGATAATGAAGATGACGATGCAAAAGCCTTCTATGCTCTGGCCTGCTTTAAAGGAGAACAGTTCAAAGTGGGAGATGGTGTTTACCTGCCCCCAGATGCTTTTAACTTCAGGTAGGAGAATCAAAAGTGCCTCAGGTGCTATCTAATATACTTTATAAAGCAAACGAGCAGTCGTTCTTTGTTTTTTGTAGTGTAAAACCAGCCAGTCCAGTGAAGCGCTCTCACAGAAAAGAGGATGTGGATGAAGATCTGTATCCAGAGTATTACAGGAAGTCTTCAGATTACATCAAGGGCTCAAACCAGGACGCACCGCCACCTTTCCGCATTGGTCGCATTAAGGAGATCTTCTGTCACAGACGCAGCAATGGCAAACCAGACTCTGCAGAGGTCAAACTGAGACTCTACAAACTCTACAGGTACATGCTTAAAAACTGGGAATTCTCACTTACAAAAACACACAGCTTGATTCTGCTGCTCATAGTAAATAGTAAAAGCAGAAATTTATCAAATAGTATAATCTAGATATAAATAAGTAATAATATTTGATGGATTGCACATAATTTTTTTCACAATTTGCTATACCAAAGGAGCTCTCATTAGTCAAAACTAGGGATGGGCATGATTAGTCGATTAATCGATAATTGATCATTAAGAATTTCATCGATTACGTTCATTTTAATCGACAAACCGAATGTAGGTTACTGTGCGTAGCGTGACCAAACAGGGGTCCGTACATGTAGCTCTCTGCATCAGAAGGAGCGAGACACAGTCGGTCAGTCTGCAACGTACTGAAGTGCAAATGCGAACGATGTGCAACGATGACTTGTACAAGAAAGTCCACGCTTTCCATTCGGGACAAGTGTGAGGCCATGTGCACAGTGTATAAAGCAGCACATGTTTCGGTGTCCAGTGGGAAAAAGTTTTGCCAGGTGAGTCGTGCAATGTCGATGACGAGTCCCCACCTCCCGTACGGTGTCCTGGTTTTGACAAACGCAAATCTGGTCACACTAACCTGTATTCCACTGAGTTGTGTCTTTAGATCCGACAGAAATTGACCGCATCTGCGCACAAGAGCTATATTTTTATCTTCGCTTAGTTTATGCAAATTAGCAATGCGGTTTTAAGTTTCGTTTCTGTGAGAGTTGCGCAAAACAGAATTAAACACATTATAATGTCAAATGGATTGATGTGGCTCTAGAGGTTTATGTCGTAAAGTTGAATTTATTTATGCAGATTAGTTGTGTAGATAGTAATAAGAATGATCATTTTAATATAAAAACCTTAATGAATAATCGATCGTTAATTCTTCCGACAATCGATTTAAGAAAATTTCATCGAATGCCCATCCCTAGTCAAAACATTGAAGACAAAATTAAAAATTTGACTATATTAAAGTATTTAACAATTCTGAACCTGCAGGATTCTCTATCACATGCTTCTATCCAAGTGAATTATAGCGACACACCTGCACTTTTGAAACATAATTGATGCATGTGAATTGTGATGTGCTAAAGGCATTGTGAGCACTTAGACTTGAACCACTTAACTTTGTGAGTTCATTGTATGTAAACCTTGTCCAGGCCTGAGAACACTCATAAAGGAGTGAAGGGCAGTTACCACACAGACATAAACCAGCTGTACTGGAGTGACGAGGAGGTGACCGTGAGCATGTCAGAGGTACTGGGTCGCTGTCAGGTGGAGTATGGAGAGGACCTCACGGAGTCTGTGCAGGAGTATTCCAGCGCAGGACCTGACCGCTTCTACTTCCTTGAGGTACCCTCCACAAACGGAGAATCATGCATTTTAAAATTTCAAACAAATTATGCTGATTTGTTTTGTTTTTCCAAGGCCTACAATGCCAAAACCAAAAGCTTTGAAGACCCTCCAAATCATGCTCGCTCTGCTGTCAACAAAGGAAAAGGGAAGGGCAAAGGGAAAGGTAAAAGTGGTACACTAGGAGTAAAAGGTAAAAGGGGTCTAATAAATGACACTTCTGTGACATTATTCTGTAATTTCAGGTAAAGGCAAAGGAAAAGCAGCTGCAGCACAAGAGGCACAAGAGGCTCAGAGTGGACCCCAGGAGATCAAACTGCCCAAATATCGCACCCTGGATGTGTTCTCTGGATGTGGAGGCCTGTCTGAGGGCTTTCATCAAGCGGGTAAGTGGCTAATTACGCTATGAAATGGCTGTATTCACTGTCACAATATTAAGTCCACAAACCCAAGATGATTTTAACATTCATGCATATAAAAGATCTCTGAGATTGCGAAACTCTCAGAAGGGTTATACATTTCCCTTGCAGTAACTTTGTATTGCCGCACTCTATAAACTTGTGTGTACCGTATTTTCCGGACGATTAGGCGCGGCCTTAAGACTCCAAAAACGACTGCGCGCCTTATAATCCGGAGCGCCTTTTATATGAATTTACGCGAGTGTTCCAGTACAACTTCAGTAAACGACAAAGCCGCACCACTTGCAGCATTACGGCTACCGTAGTCAGGAGCATCGTGGAATAATACGTACTGTGATTCCTCATTTTTCCCGTGGACGAGGAAAAGATGAGCGACTGGCTGCGAGAAGTTTACCTTAAGAGACCGGATGGCTTTTTCCACACATCTCCGTCCCTATTGATCTGAGACTCCAGCGCAGTAACAGATTGTTGTCCAGACGCAGCCGCGATTCATTTTCGAATTATTTTACCAACAATGGCCAATACAGAGAATGTAATACACGAAGATCAGAGCAAGTACCAGTGTGCGAACATGTGGCTCCAGAGTGAGTCAAAATTGGGGGTGTGTACCCCTGTTCAGGACCTGCACGCATAGAGAGGTCCCGGTGGTCCCCGTGATCATGTACCAACCAGCATTTGTTATTTTAGGCTTTAATTAACCAAATAATTTTATGGCAATAGCCTATTCAATTGATACAACTTCAAAAAGTCCCTGCTTTTAGCCTAGTGTGAGAAATGCAGTCGGACTAGATCCAAACCATAGTCCCGAACCAGCGGGGGCAGCTCCGGTTCAGGCCGGGCTCAGAGGAGCTGGAGCGGGGAGCCTCGACCTGAGGAAGCGCTTTCCCCGGGAAGAACCAAACGGAGGCACGGAGGACGGACGCTCAGAACAACATATAACAAACCAAACTGGACTCACGCTTCTGTCCGGATGCTGCACCACCTCGGAACCAGCCGCGGTTCTTGAGCGCGGAGGACCAGAGCAGCCCACCCGGACCTGTAGTCCACAGCGCATTCTTGCTTTTCCCGCACGGAAACAGCGTGCAGACGATGAAACGTACCCGCTCGGACTCAGTCCATCAAGCACTGGTCTTGCTCGCCACAGTTTGGAACCAGCACATGGAGGATGGAGCCTCCGGACCATCTGACCAATGCGCTTGTAGGACGACAGAAGACCAAGGACCAGACCCCAGCCCCGTCCTGAGGAGCTGCGCGCTACGGTGGGCGCTGTTTGCTGCTGCTGTTACCCGAACTCTGGGCTGATGCGGTGAGTTTGAACAAAGTTCTACATGTTGCTGTTTTATGAGTTCATGATGATAATTTGAGATGAGGACGGCCCGTGTTGATAACTGGAGGTATCGCTGTTTTCCTGGGAAACAGACACATCAATCGAACCAGCCAGTGTGAACGCGGAGCACACTGGAGTGTATTTGCTACATAATAACAATTTTATTGCCTGGTGCGGACCAAATAATCGAACTAGCGTTGTGAAAACGACCTAATGTGTTATTTTTAGTTATAACCGAACAATTATGAGTTATTGTGAATACGCTGACAATTTATCGGTCTCAGACAGTTTTTTTGTTTTTTACGTGTTAAAAATGAACAAAGTTGAGAGTTAACGTAACGAGTAAACGCGTTAAATAAAGTTTGACTGATTTACTGAACTGTTGTTTCGTTTAACGCGCCTTAGTCCGGTGCGGTTTATATGTGAAAAAAGTTCGGGAAAACGACGTGCGTCTTATAACCCGGAGCGCCTTATCACCCGGAAAATAAGGTATATAAGACCATCTCTCTCTTCTCAGGGATCTCTGAGACCATGTGGGCCATAGAGATGTGGGAGCCTGCTGCTCAGGCCTTCAGACTCAATAACCCAGGCACCACAGTGTTCACTGAGGACTGTAACGTTTTACTGAAGCTGGTCATGGCCGGAGAGAAGACCAACTCTTTGGGCCAGAGGCTGCCACAGAAGGGGGACGTGGAGATGCTCTGTGGAGGGCCTCCATGCCAAGGCTTCAGTGGCATGAACCGCTTCAACTCGCGCACCTACTCAAAATTCAAGAACTCTCTTGTTGTCTCCTACCTGAGGTAAAACTGCAGTGTAAATTGTCATTATTTTCAGATCCTTTTGTATGATTTAATCAGCATTTTTGTAAGCCCTGTCTGGTTACTACTCTTTACAAATACTGTATGCATTAACATTTGTAGAACTTTGTGTTCATCACAACTTTACTCTTAATGCAAGAACTTGAAAAAAATTTTACACAATGCATTTTGTTTTTTTGCAGTTACTGTGACTACTACCGACCCAGGTTTTTCCTACTTGAGAACGTGAGAAACTTTGTCTCCTTCAAAAGCTCCATGGTGCTCAAACTGACTCTTCGGTGTCTGGTGCGAATGGGATATCAGTGCACTTTTGGGGTTCTCCAGGTTGGTCTTTCTGCAAATTAACCAATTATTTAAAAAAAAAATGAATGAATGAATGAAACCATGTGTGATTTGTGTTTATGCTTTTGTGGTCAGGCGGGTCAGTACGGTGTGGCTCAGACTCGCAGGAGAGCCATCATTTTAGCTGCTGCTCCTGGAGAGAAGCTGCCGCGTTACCCTGAGCCTCTGCATGTCTTTGCCCCCAGAGCCTGTTCCCTCAATGTAGTCGTGGATGAGAAAAAATATGTCAGCAATGTCACTCGGTAAGGCTAATTTGAGGAATTTTTAGTCAGAATTCTTATCTAAATAATCAGAAGATATCTTGGTCCAACATGAACATGCTTTATTTATTATCGATAATGATGATGAATCTGGAAGAACTGTAAAATTATTCAGTTTCAGAAATATTTTCAAAAGCATAAGCTACCTAATATTACTTTGCACATTTTCAATTGAATCTGCAAATGTGACATATTAATCACGTAATTGCTTGTCTTCAGAGGTAATGGTGGAATCTATAGGACCATCACAGTGAGGGACGCCATGTCGGACCTGCCTGAGATCAGAAACGGAGCGTCTGCTCTGGAGATCTCCTACAATGGGGAGCCCCAGTCCTGGTTCCAGAGACAGATCAGAGGCACGCAGTATCAGCCCATCCTCAGAGACCACATCTGCAAGGTTCATAGGCTTTCACTCATCACTTTCAACCCTATCACCATATACCCCATCTGATCTGATGACATTTAAAAGTTTACACAAGTGTATCCAAAAATATTGAGTATTAGGTCAAGTTGAATATCTGCAATTTTGTAAGTATTATAGTACAGATTAAAATTCTGAGGTTTCTACCCCATGTCTATCCACTTTAAATACTTATCCTTATTTATAACTTATAATATCTTGGCTACTCACCATTTCTGATGTTAACTATAGAATTGACCTGTGACTGTAACTGTTCTGGTGTTTTTCCAGGACATGAGCGCTCTGGTGGAGGGGCGAATGCGGCACATCCCCCTGGCCCCCGGCTCTGACTGGAGGGACCTGCCCAACCTGGAGGTGCGACTGAAGGATGGCACCATGACTAGGAAACTCCGTTACACGCACGCCGACAAGAAGAACGGACGGAGTGGCACTGGGGCTCTGAGAGGGGTCTGCACATGTGCAGGAGGTACAAGTTTAATTCAAATAAAACTTAAATGGGCTTTATACTAACTTAAATGTTTACATATTGGTCATTCTCAAATACTAGGTAATTCTTTTTTTAATTCTTGGCTGTTACCAGGCAGATGTTTTTTGTTTGTTTCATGTACGAAAGGGAAATCTAGAAAGATACAATTAGTTTAATCTTTAACAGAAGAAAAAAATACTGTTTATGTGCAGAATTTTTTGTGACAGTTACAACATTGTAGACCATACAATATTATGTCATCTCCAACTATCAATTGGACTAATACTAAACCTGTATATGTTTAGGCAAGCCATGCGACCCTGCAGACAGACAGTTCAACACACTGATCCCCTGGTGTCTGCCTCACACTGGGAACCGCCACAACCACTGGGCTGGACTGTACGGCCGGCTGGAGTGGGATGGATTTTTCAGCACCACCGTGACTAATCCTGAGCCTATGGGCAAGCAGGTACTCCCTTTTATGCTTATTTTAAAATGTAAAAGGTAAAGGAGATTGATAATTAACAAGGAACTCGATAAACCAATTATACCAGTATGTATGCGTTTTTAACACTGGGCACATCAAGATTTTTCTTGTGAACGAGAACTCAATTCTGTTAAATGCTTCACTTGTCCCTAAACACTTCTATTGGGATGCATGTCATGCACAAAGTGAGACTGGCATGCCAATCATGGAGAAGCATGAACTTGCTGCAGGTTTATATTCAGTGGTCCATTAGTGTTAGCTGCTTTTAAATGTTCAAGAATGGTGATTAAAAAAAAATTGACATGAAAATTGCAGTTTGTTTTCCACCCACTAATATCAAAACAGCCATTTGTAGAGTTGTTTTATCTAGATGACTATGTGCATTGTGAATCATAATATGGATTATCATGTGTATTCATAGGGCCGTGTACTGCACCCAGAGCAGCATAGGGTTGTCAGTGTGAGGGAATGTGCCCGCTCTCAAGGATTCCCTGACACTTATCGCTTTTTTGGAAATGTCCTGGACAAGCACAGACAGGTAATGATTCAGAATATGTTGTAGAAAACTTTCTTGAATAGAAACTGAACATGATCTTGTCACAGGTTGGAAATGCAGTGCCCCCTCCTCTGAGCAAAGCCATAGGTTTGGAGATCAAAAAGTGTATTTTGGACAAAATGAAGGAGGAACAAGGATCAGGTGAGTAGTTTTGTCTTAACTTTTAAATCTGTAAACTTGTTCTTACACAATTTTGCCCTCATTAGAAAACATCAAACAAGAGAAGATGGAGGTCTCTGAATAGTCCCATGAGGAGGACTGAATCAGTTCATGAATTTTAATGCTGCCATTGTTTTATTCAAGTTGTCAGTCACATTGTGCTGTATCATTCCAGTGTTTTAAATGTGCTCTTAATCATGTGTTTAAATGTTTGCCTAATGTGGATTGTATGTAGTTTTTATAAAATTTCAATTAAAGCTCTTACGGAATTCTAAAATATTGACCAACTCTTTTGAAGACTACTTGTCCACTTGTTAGTAAGTTTCACTAGTCAATTAAAATGTTTAGAACAAAATTTACAAGGTCAAATATGGTGACTGGAGGAATCTGCTTTTTTTTTTACATTTTAATGCCACTGTACCATTAAAAGGCCTTTTCAAACAAGTCTGTATAGTTCAGATTACTGAAATACAAGGCTAGTCATGATTAGTTGATCACTGATTCCTGTCTGAATGCAAAAAATGCAAAAACTATGTACAGCCTGGGTAGCCCTTCATCCATTTGTTTGGTTACAAGTAATCAAATTTTATCACCCAGTGTTAATGATTGGATAAATACACACAACCTATAATGGGCTAACTGAAAGATTTAAGACCTCCAGTGAAGTAAAAACACAAGGACTGTTGAGTCTCTTTATTCAGGTACATGTGAAATTTGACCCAAATAAAATATATCCAAGAATAATCCAATGGCTTTAGTTGTTTGAAGGTCTGTAAAATAGGATAATCAGTTATAGTTCAGTAACAGTTAATGTACATTCACATATCAGACAGGAAGTACTCACTTGGCCCATTCAACATTGAGAATAAGATGGTCATATCCAAATCCTGACACTCCAGCAATGGCTCTGGCAGCATCCTCCCGGCGGTGAAAACTGATGAAGGCAAATCCCTGTAGGACAATAGTTACGTCAGTGAAAAATAAATTAACTTTCACTGCACAGGTTTTAAAGATGACTTTGGTGACTGACACAGACCTTGGACTGCCCAGTGTTCTTGTCCTTGGCCAGATAGATCCTTGAGATGGAGCCAAAGGGTCTGAACAGTTCCTGCAGGTCTGTCTCGCGGGTGTCCTCAGACAAATTGGTCACACGGATTGTTGCATTATCATCAGCTGCAAATAGCAAAAATGACACTGGCGTAAAAATGATGTTCAACTTCACCGAGTTGTCCATCTCACACAGTGAAAAGATACCCACCTCTGCGGTTAGGCTGCATGGACTCCCCTCTCCTGGTTCCTCCATCCCTCAAGCTTGGGGGAACATATTTACCCGTCTTGCTTTGAGCAGGCTGTGCAGGCTCTGGTTCGGCTAAATAAAACAAATAAATGCGAGAAATTAGGAAAAATAAAAAAAACACAAGCCATCTCAAAAACAAACTCTTACCAGAGCCAGCTGGTTTTTCCTTGTCCCCAGTGGAAAGCCCAAGCTGTTCGGCCAGCTCCTTTTGCATGGGGCCCAGAGTGTCTTTGTAAGGGCACCGGGTGGTCCAGTGGTCCCCTTTACAGATACGACAGGACACAATCTTCTGGCCCTTTAGTTTGTTCATCGGATCTTCATCTTGGTCTTGGGAATTCAAATCCTGTTAACACACAAAAATTCAGAAAAAAATCTTGAATAGAGCAATCTCATATTCAGTTACCTCTTACCTCTTTGTTTGGAAACAAAAGTCATAAAAACATCATCGCTGACAGTGGTGGTGGCAACATTAGGGCCAGGGGCATCAAACTCAGAGTTGCCAAACTTCTTCCAGTTCTATAAAGATTGAGGAGTAAATACATATATTGTTTTTCAAAAAAAGATTTAAACTTGTACCTTTCTCCTGGCAACAGCTTTTGAAGCCTTTCTAGTCTCAATCTTGAACGTCCGCACAATCTATTAAGGAAAACAATAATTAAGGTAAATTTTGATGAGTGGAAAACTAGTACTGTTAGATTCTGGATACCTGATGTATTATTAATTACAAATACCACCCTCATAACTCACCTTATACTTCTTCCCATCTTCTATTTTGTATTCAGTCACTGTTTTGATGTTTCCTTTAATAGTTTCCTTTGGTGATGGAAGTGTACCTGCCACAGATGTCACATTATTTCATTCATAAAATCGGACTAGTGAAGTGAACAGCGCTCAAGAAATCAAATATAGCTGTTACAGGGCCTGATAACTCAGATGATAGTGTATAAACAAGTCAATGGGACCAGCCTGTATGTTAACTACTGTTGCACCAGCGACAAATCGCAAAAAGAGTTACAACTAATGTATCGCATTCCAGCAAAGAAAGTTGTGTTTACGACTAACACTGTTCACATTATGGTGTAGTCCTGAATCGAAAAATGATAAAGAAATAAATATGGATTAAACAGACACGTGGAAAATATAGGCAGATAGCCGGTGGCCTCTGGGCGTGCTAACAGCGGCTAGCTGTACCTTCATCGCCTTCTTCTTCGACCTGGTCCGCCCAGCTGGGCTTGGAGCTGACGACAGAAGAAAATGTGGGATCAGAAGATGAGGATGGTCCATGACAAGCAACAAAATTAGGCAAAGATACTCACTCGTCGTATTCAATAGACGGCATCCTGGAAGCTAGCTTAGCTTCGAGAGCTCGGCGCCGCGAACAGGAACGTGCACCGGAAATTGTCACCACACACTTCCGCCATAATTTCACAACAAGTGTTTATTAAATTTTTTTTTTTTTTTAAATGATAATCAGTAGTCAATACTTGTTCTACAAAGACAATAACAGCACACAATTATACGAAGGTTTTAAGCATTTTTCACCAAAAAATTATAATACAATAAAATATTTAATAAAAATGCAAAGAAGTATAGAATTATTACACACCTTGTTTGGATTCAGCATGGCATAAGGCTTTCTTAAATTGTAGTCCCTAGCAGTAATTTATTAAGATACATTTGGAACAAGGGTTTTATGTTCAGGAATATCAATATATGAATATATTATTTGGTTAGTAATAAACAAGTACAGAAAAAGTCATTTTTATTTTGTTATCTTGGAAACTTAAAACCCTTTTCGTTACATTTAATAAATTACAAGTGGCTATCTTGAAAAACATATCTTCTTACTGTGGCTGTGGTTTCCACTCCACTAAACACATCGACAGTTAGATATAGAGATAATAGAGCACGCAAAGTCTACTTTTGGTTGCAGATCAGTGTCTGATTACAACCAACTAACTGGAAGTATAATCTAGTTAAAAAGACCATAATTGTCCCCAAAAATAAAATAAAGCCCAGTAGCATACATCATAGTGATACAAAAGAATACTGTATATTCTCTATACACTGTATATGTAATTCAGTTTATCTCTTGTGTTTTATCCTCTCGGGTGTCCCCACAACAAGCCACTCTGATACTGTCAAACACCTGCCATAAAAAGAAGTGGGTGAATGCACATGTTTAGAGTGGCCAGTCCTTTAGTAACTTGGTATGTGTTGTATATGAAGCAGTCGACTTTTCTGATCATTTTCAGGTGAAAGTGGTACATGCGGAAAAAATGATAGGGCAAGAAAGAAATGGCATACAATACGACGACTGATATCACCAACAGAGCTACCTTACGTCTTTCTAGAGCGGTTAGGCTCACACTTTTCCTGACTACCTGAATAACCACACAATAAGAGGCAAAGGTGATCAAAAATGGGATAAGACACCCAAACACAGAGAGAAACATTTTGTAATTAAAATGTGACTTCTCTGTCTTAGTTTGTTGCTGGTTACAGTTTGACACACACACAGTGTTGTTGCTGTGCATATCAGGGCAAGATGAAGCAAATTTCAAAACTGGACTGGAAATAACCCCAACCAAAATCCAAATGACAACACTGGCGATCTTTGCCTTTCTTGGTCCCAAGTATGTTCTTGTAAAAAATGGGTATTTCAAAGCCACGCAGCGGTTCACACTTATAATCATGATGAAGAAGATGCTGGCATACAGATTACAGGTGAAAAGAAACCGCTCAATTTTGCAAGCAGCATTCCCAAATATCCAGTGCTTCTCTAGGGCGTAGTAAACAATGAGCATAGGCAGCGTGAGGATGTAGAGTAGATCACTGATGGCCAAGTTGCAGGAGAAGACAATCCCTGTGTGCCAGTTTCTCCTTTCTTTAGTCACAAGGAGATATAAGGCAAAAATATTTCCCACTAGAGCAACAACAAACTCAATCCCGTACAAGGATGGCAGCAGGCGGATTTGAAATGTCTCACAGCCTTGAATATCAGGCTTCATCTTGAGTACACAACTTGGCCACACTTCGAACAATCTGTGAAGTATTAGAGCTTGTTATGATTTACAACACAAAACACAACTGGGGAAAATCATACTCACCAAAGAGATGCAATTTCTGTGCCTCACAAACTTTCAGTGATCGTTTCCTGCATTCTGTTGATAAAAATGGCACATAAACCACAAGGAAGATGTAGAATTGTGTCTTCTCTAAACATGGCTGTAACTTCCCCTCTACAGTTTCACAATATGAAGAAGTAAAACTGGCAAAAATTTGCATTCTTTGGTCTGACAAATTCCACCTCAACAGTGACCCAACAGTTCATGAAATATCGCTTCAAAACCCCAAATTATAGTCTGTCATTTCATCATGCAGTACTTGATTACATTATTTTGACACGTAATTTCAAATAATTCAGATAAAAATTTATCTGAAAAAAATCAAGTTAAGGCACTCACCTTGTGCAAGTCCTGCCCCATTCCCCAGTCCTCTCTTCACTGGAACATACAACCCTTGTACTCAATTTCCTGAACATTTCCTGTTGTCAAAAATACTTTTTCATACGGTCTACAGTAAAGTCTTCTTCACAAAATCAGTCAATTTAAAAATTCAAATGAAAAGAAATTGTAATCTAAGCAGAAATTAGTGAAACAAGATCTGTCATGCTTGGACACTATGGACACACCCAAAGAATGTATGCTGCAGATAGCTTCCATCCCACCCTCCTTTGGCTTCTGTCTAAACATGCATATGATGTGGAGTGGTCAAAAGATGGACATGACTTAAGTGTCAGTGGATTAAAGGATTAATATTTATTCCAAATGTATACAAACAGAATTTTTTTTATTTATTTACAAGTCCTCACAGATGTTGCACCTGCTGTCCAAAAACAGTCCAGATGCTTATTTTTTTCAGCCATTTTGTTTCCTGTGTTTGAAGTCCTTCTTTCGTCCTGCAGATTTTTTAAATCCTGGTTTGCCCTTTTGTCCTTTAGGTTTAAATTTGTTGTCCTTATTTTTCTTTGCATATGTTTTATCTGAACTAAATTTATTTTTGCCAAACTTTTCTGTACCACCAGGCCTTTTCTTATTGAATGTCTTGCCTCCCGGTTTAATCTTCTTTGAAAAAGGTTTCTCCGAGTCACCAAATTTCTTCCATGGTTTATGCGGTTTTCCAGTTTTGGCTGTCTGGTCGGCTCCTGGACCATTTCTTTTTGGCAATTTGCCGTTTTTGTCTTTATTTGAAGATTTGCCTTCAGACAGTTTTCTCTTCTTAGCAGGTCCATTTGACTTGTCCCGCATTCGCTTTCTCTTGGCTCCTGGGAACATATCTGTGCACAAAGGCATTAAGTAAATAACCTGTATCTGAGCAGATCCCAACATTTATATAGACAAATCCTTTACCTTCATCTGGGTCCTGGCCGACGGCCTGTCTGTAGTACTCCACCTCATCGTCTGAATCAGCATTAACGACATCATCCTGAGCTCCCGGATCCTCTACTTCACTGTCTTCATCAGCATTTGTGCATTTCTTTTTTATACCTTCAAGGCTCTTTAACCTGTTGACAAAGTACAATTTAGACTTTAGACCTCATCAGTTTAACAACTGCTGGGTTTTTCGTGGCATCAAAACATTCTATAGGTCAATCATTTTAATACAGATAGGGTGATGAGCAAAATGAATAGCAGGTCTAGTCACCAACAGAATTGATCAGGTTTAACATTTCCAAAGATATTACTTATTAGAATACCATGCGATCAGGTAGGGAAGCTCAAGTGGGATTATGTTTTCGTGATACTCTATGTGGCGACTGTTATGAGTTTGGGCTATACAAAACTATTATTGAATGAAAAGCTTCTAAAATATTACTTGTTTTTTTCTCTTTGCTCTTTTTTCTGAGCCACATTTTGTTCTTGCTTCTTTCGTCGTTCTTGTTTTGCCTTCAGCTGAGCCTCTTTTCTGTTCAGGATCTCCTGGATTTCTTCTTCTGTCTTAGTAACTGCAGAATACAACAATTCATTCATTTTTAAAAACAGCATATACAAAATTTTTCATTCCAGACAAGTAACCTGTGTGCATCAGCAAGCGTTTACTTTAGAAAATTAATCATTGAATAATTCATTACAAAATGTGTCATCAGATACACCATCATGTAAAAAAAGAGCCAACAACTGGAGCACATGTACTTACTGACAGAATGATACAGGATATTTCCTCCTCCCATCCCTTCTTCAATCTTGGAGAGTTTTAATGTCATCCGAGGACCAATCTAAAACAAAAAAATGATCAAATCAACGCAGATCAATGTCTTTTTGAAAGAAAAAAAAAAGTTAATTTAAATCCTATAGATTACTAAACATGATAAATGACACATTAAAATATTTTTCACTTACCTCAGTTAGACGAACAGCACTTTGTTGAGAAGCCATATTGCCTCGACCTGAATAGGCCTGTGGCAGCTCTGTAATGTTGTGGTCTCCATCTTGTTCAGCTTCACTTTCTGACAGGTTTGCTCCCCTTAACAAGTACAAAGTAGCACATATTAGTGTGACCTCAACAATCAAGCATTTTATTATACCTTAGAAATACCTTACTTCATAAGGAGCTCACTAATGTCCTCAAATTTGTTCATATTGGGAAACCGTTCTTGCATCAACTTTTTTACTCCACGGCTCATGCCCACAGGGACCACCTTAAGGCTACTGCAGGTTCAGAAACAGAAGTGAAGGTCATTGTCACATTCAGCCCAAAATTATAACTATTCTACTATCACTATCATTCATCAGTGCGTTTACTTTGACACATGAATCACTGGTCAATCATGTCAGAATGTGTCATCATTTGAACTATAAAAAAAAATATACATATATATATATATTTTTGAGTATAGTAATAAACCACTTACTAATGCCTGAATTCTATTTCCTCAGACTCTGGGTTGTAATTTAACAGCACACACCGCTTAATGTTGTTGAGATTGACCTGCAACATATCAGTACCACAAGGTCAAACACCAATTCCACATTTAAGACTATTTTTAAAAAGGGTAAAATTAAATATGTCAGAAAGCGTTTACTTTTTCTGATTGATCTTCAAAGTGAACTCAGAAGACTATACTTTCATCATACATTAAGAGCTTTAAAAAGCAGTTTAACAGACTTCACATTATTTTACCTTATGCACATTTATGGAGGGGAACATATTTTGAAACATGGTGGCCATTAGCTTGATGTGCATCCCACTGGAACCAAAGTTATTGAGGATGAGCAGTGGATGGTGTGTGAACTGCTGCTCGTGCATTCTGTGCTTCTTCAGAGCAGACACTACGTCTTTGACAAGAGAATACTGAAAAATACAAAATGTCCTGTTACAAAATGTGTAACTTTTATTTACAAGTAATAATCAAACATGTATTGCCTTGGGATCATCAGTGCGTTTACTTTGAAAAACATCACTTTCAATCAATATTAATATATTCTCATCATCTGAGCCCCATCTTTATTTGTAAGTATAGTGACAGAGTCATTTACCTTGACCACTTTGAAATGAAGCGTTGGGCCTTTTGGAAGGCGAGCAACCCTCTGAAATATAAGTTGTGGGTTAATTGTGAGACAGTATTAATAAAATGTCAGCACTTGAATGGGGCTTTAGTGTCCTCACCATGTTAACAGAGCTAGGAGTTTTGCTGAACATAACGAAGTGTGTAACGCCAAGTGGTCCAGCAATTGAAACAAAATCTTTCAGGACATTCTTTTTTCTAACCTAAAGAAACATAAGTTAATAAATGTAACAGTACATTGTGGATATCCCAGTACATAGTTTATGCTATTTGACAGTGACCTTCAGGCTCTCTGCTGTGTATGGCTGCATGACTTTTCGGACATCCACGATGAGCTGGCCCACGTTTTTGCCAATCTGTCCGCGGTGAAAGACGAAGGAGTGGGGGACGGCACCATACGTCTCCTCGGCCACATGGTTAGCTGAAGCTCGGGCTTTCTTTTGGTTTTTGGTCTTAAGGCAAATAAAGACAAATGTCATCAAATCATCACAGGTTAGACAACTTTTCTGCATTTAGAATTAGCCGACACAAGCTGTACATAAAACGCTACGATACCAGAGGAAAATAGTTTGGCACAAGCTACCATCATGTCTTACCTTCGATTTCACCATTTTTCCATAAATTGGTGCCTTACAAAAGACAAAACAGTATTCTTGTCAGTAGTTCGGAGGCTGCACAAATAGCATGTGAATAAAAAGAAGATATCTTTGGAGATTAGGTGAAAAATAAGCTCTTAACTAAAGTCCAACTCCACATGGCTGCAGCGTTTGCTGTGTGCCGCGCTGTTTTGCATCCGTGTGCAACGAACTCGGAGGAAATAGTTCCTAGGTGGTTCTTTACTAGATCACAAAATGGTATCTGTGTTTTTTTTCGTGAATCACTTTTAATTAAAGTAGTTCTATGTCCGTTTTCTTTTGTAAGGTTGATAATAATAAAAAGGTATTCTGGAAAATTATGATTTTGAACATAAAAACAATTGACCAGAAAATATGTCTTCATTTATTACATATTGTTCATAGACTGTCTGTAATATGATACATACATTACTGTTCATTCAGATTAATACATTTTGATCACTGGTCCGAGGCGCACACACAGACTTCATTGTTGGCCACCAGAGAGCGCCATATAATACGTATGATTAAAACGTGACGTCAAAACTCGTGCAATTTTTTTTAAACACCAAAATTTAGATATATGAATAACTTAAGTCTAACGGATTATTGCATGACTTGGTAAGGTATGCAACTTTCTGGGAGTCACCAGTTCAGAACATTCTCCATGGAAATGCCATATTATGGAAGATTATAGTCAAAGGTTTTACATTTCGATGGTAACAATCAGGTCAGGTTTGTAGAGATTCAAGCCTGTTCACTGAACGAACATGCTTTTTTTTCTTTCTTTTTTTTTTTTCTTTTTTCTTTTTTTTAATTTAGTGAATAAAAACAATACAAATTAAGGGGGGAAATGCTTCTGTTTTAGTCTGTTTGGGCGAAAAACGAAAGCCTTCTGTGGGGAATGTTCCAAAAGTGCAAATGTCATTACCAAAACCAGTAGCTTCTTCCATTGGTGATGGTTTAGCTGTCAGTACCAGACAATAACAATACCAGCAAGATGACTAGTAAGTCTGTTTGACCTAAAGATCTTGTTGCCTAGAAAAAGATGAACAGGTTGAGCTGAGGGGCAGGGAGGAGACAGCCCACGCTCCTATGCTGCTGAAGGAGGTGTCTTTGGGATAGTTTGGGAGTCAGTTTGTAATTAGCAGCCTGCTACTGAGAGATTCCAACAAGAGGCATCCAAGACGGACCCAGAGGAACAGGACTGGTCTGCTTTGTGTCCTTGACATTCAGGTCATTTCCACAATGCTTCATCAGTCTGATTAATTTGCAATTATACTTTTTAATCGAACCTTTATTTGCACCAGTAAGTCAAATTTAAGGATGTAATTTTGAGATGCAGGATTAAATCTCTGCCTGGAAGACAACAACAGTATTCATCGCTTATTTGCTGCAAAGGTAAGATAGAAAATATATTTAATTTTCTCTGACTTTCTTATTCAATCTTTGAAACCTAAGAGAAACAAGTTTTCAATATTTGTTTAATGGTTTTATGGTGTTGACATTTTGTGATGATGTTGAACTCCCTCAAAAGAGCTCAGTTGGCTGAGAGATGGAGCTCTGTTGATTCTGACTGGTCTGTATTGACACTTGTCTCCTCATTGTTGACTTGCTAATAAATTCCAAACAGAAACTTTTTTTTATCCTTAACCAACACACATGGAGAGCCATCACCAACATTTGTGGCACTGTGGTTTGAACATAATGTGTTATTTCCCATTTTTCTAACTGCCAGTGTTTGGGGTCCCACATTTAAGTAGACACTGATTATATTACTTAGAGCAGCAAGAAGGCCATGTCCAGTACCACTTTATTTGTTTAGAAATTCCCTAATAGTCAATGGCCTATGCAAGTGGTCGATAAAGTAATACATTTTGTTACTTAAGCAAAAGTACAGATATTGGGCAAAAGATTACATAAAGAAGATTAAAAAAGTAAACATATCACATAAAAAATCTACTACTATTGAAGTACCTGTTTAAAAATATACTTTACAAGTAAAAAGTACAGAACAATCAAAGTGATTCAGTTGATTTCTAGCTGTATGTGGTTTGTAAAAGTAGAAAGTATCCACTGTTAAAATGTACCTTACTTGTAAAATTGTACTTAAGCATTGTACTTTTACATTTGCACTTTGTTTCCTTCCATCACTGCCTAATACTTATTTTTAGGGCTGATATGTAGAATTGTTTTTGATAGTTTTCACCAAATTATATGATATGAAATTACTTTAAACTCAGTCACTCTGTATACAGTGCATCGGTCTGACATGGTGCCCCTCTAATATAAATTAATAGGAAGAAAGTCCAATTCTGCCCCTCTAAAATGCTAGGGCGTGGGACATCAGGTCCCTTTGTCCCCCCCAGTCAGGTGTTTCATATAAAACACCTGAGTGGTGTGGTAGTTATACAATCCAAAACAATATATCTGTTTATCTGTATTCTGTATTGTATAGGTCTTCTTTGGATGAAGTTTGCAAATTCTTCCTGTGTCTGGTGGACTTCTTTAATCCTAAACCTAAACATGCAATACCTGGCTTCACAGTGACTGTCAACTAGACCTAGACAAAGCCCACTTATCATCTGTAAATTTTAATCTGTTATTAAAGCAAAGATATTTACACATTTTTGATTTTCTCACAGGTCCAGACATCACACAATTCATGGGGACGACACTCACCATCAGCCTGCCTCTTTTGATAACACTTTGCCTGAATTTCAATGGCTGCAACACTCAAAAAGTCATAAATCGGTCGGATCCCAAAGATGGACGCTGCTCCTACACCTTCCTCGTACCTCAGCAGAAGCTGACAGGAGCTCTCTGCGTGAACACTGCTTCGGCAAACCAGTCTGAGGTGCAGGCGCTGAGGGCAGAGCTAAAGAGACAACAGGACCAGATGGACAGGCTCAAAGGGCAGCTGGAACAGGAGGGTGCACTAGTGATGGAGGTACGGGCCTTACGCAAAGAGAGCAATAACATGAACTCGCGCATCGCCCAACTCTATGCCCAGCTACTGAACGAAGTAATCACCAAAAAAGATCAGATTTTGGAGCAGAAAAGGGTGGAAAGTTTGTTGTTGAATGCTACAGCGCAGGTAAGATTTTTATATGAGATGGTAAGAATTTATTTTTATAAAAATCATGTGTTTTTTTTTCAATTGCTGTGATCTTTATAATAGGTCTGTGTGATATGGTGATAAAATCAAATTGTAATCTGCTCCCATTGACAATGTACTATTTCTATTCTGTCATATTGTCATTTGGGATTTACTATTTCTCAGTTTCTCCACTTCTCATTGGTCAGCCTCTGTAAGGCTCTGAATGAATGATCAATCACAGTGAAGTGTGAACATTCAGATGGATCAGATTGCCCACCCCTAATTTAAAGGTGCTTACAGCTTCAGAGCAAAGTACAGTAACTAAATAACCAAGAAAGCCAAATATAAATCAGTATGCATTGAATTAACTATTTGAGAAATGTACTTGTGAATGATATATTGTCTTCATGGAGATTGGAGATGTTATTGCTTTGCCTGAATGTTCCATGGTATGGCATTAAACATATCAATCTAGCATTTATTCATTACATGTGTTTCCATTGCTCAAAAATACAATAAATTCTTCTGTGAATAGGGGCAGCTCTCCACAGGTCTGAATTGTAATGTAGTATAATGCTGTGACCTGCTTGTCTTGTTCATGATAGATAGGCTTAGTCTAGACTGTGGAGCATTATAGACAAAGCAATAACGTTTCCATGGAGGCAAGTAGGTAGCGGATGCTCCACCAGAAAAGTTGAGCAGCGCTCGTTTAAATGTTTCTTTTCTGAGGATTCAATGGTGAGATACGTTTGAGAATTTAATACTACTTAATAATATTTGTGTATAAAGGCATTGCAGGTGTCTAACAATTACCGGGAGCTTGAAAAGAAATATGGTGCCCTTACGTCCATGATGAGTACACAAAACCAGTTTATCTCACGTCTCGAGAAGCAGTGCCAATGCAAAAATTCACCTCACTCCACTGCGGTAAGATCTCATTATAATGTTAGTATTGTATTATTTTAGGTACTGATATTATGCTGGGGGGTGATCTATAATGCATTTCTATTGGCAGAATGTTCAGCAGTTTCCATGTTACTCAATACACACATTAGCGAACACAGACAAAAATGTTTTAAGATCTTCTGAAAACTTAGGAAAAAAATACAAAATGGATTATGATCAATATGAGTGTTCATGGTCCTGTAGGTGTTTGATTTTCAACAAAAAGCTGAGAGTGACTAACTGAAACACTGTTGGCTAGCTTGTGATAGTAATTTTATATGTGAGAGGCTTGTTGAACAGCACAAATCATCGCCTGTTGTAGTTCCAACCAAGGCAGAGCTTTCTGATCAGATTGTGTTAATATAAAGATTTGAGTAACAGAGCTTCTAACAGAGCAGTGCTTCCAGTTAGCTTCACACCCCAAGGGAATTTTGTGGATGACATCAGCTGCAAAGTGTCAATATTGTAAAGATGTGAAAACTGACTGTTTTTGTGCTAGTCTGTGCAGGTCACGACTGAACCTCCCAACCCTCCAAAGCCCAGTGTGTTTCATAATTACAGTTCAGAGGCAAACGAAATGACCAATGATGTTCAAAGGGACCAAAGTCTTCCTGTAGCACAACAGCAAGAAAACAGCATGATAGTGGGACCCCTCCCCACCACTGCCATGGACGCACCCACCGACCCCCCCTTCATTAGCTTCCCTGTCACAAAGACACCAGGTATTTAGACTTAGGCTTTTAAATAAAATAAAATAAAATATAAATTAGTAATAAAAATATCTCAGTATGATGTATAGAGTGGTTCTAGCTCTACCAGAGTGTATTTTGTTTTGTATTTTTCAACATTAATTCATGCTGAGCTGAAAAAAAGTATTTGTGATGTGGCCTCCATGTATGCCCCAGATTTTTTGAAAACAGACAGGCTTTAGGTGGTAGTAGTAGACTAAGCCTCAAATGCAGGACAATAGAGGGTTACCCAAAATGTTTTAATCATTCAAAACCTAATTCTCAGTAAGCAAGTGATGAAGAACAATTAAACATAAAATTTTATCTTCCTCCTTAAAGGTGCACTGTGTACCTTTTCTGGTGGAAGGTATGTCAAACACTTTTGTCTGTTGAGTTGTTGCTTTGTCTGGAATGTTTCACAGTATAATATTAAAACATTTCTTAATCTTAATGGAGACCAAACCAGACCAAGTTACTGGTTAGATCTGTGGAAAGGCAACCCTGCTCACAGCAAGAAGTAGGTATTTTAGGTATTTTTAGCTATAAAACTATAAGGCTATATTCAGTAAATGTAAGGTAGAGCTGTTTAATGTCATACTGTGGAATGTTCCAGGCAGAGCAATGACATATTTGTAGAAACAACCAGGTGAAGGACTCCTAACCAAAAAGTTACAAAGTGCAGCTTTAAAACTGAATTACCCAACTCTTCTCTTATAAATAGGTAGATTTTGTTTTTGCCCCATTGTATGTAATGTAAAAGCAGTACACTGTGACAAAATCAGAGCACTGTATGCTGTCTTCATAAAACATTTTATAGATGCAAACTTGTAAGAGAGAGCTGAGATTGGTGATGACTGGCTATTTTTTGATGGTCCAACTTGATTCACTTCTCTAAAAAATATGTTTTAAAGCTGTGCTAGTGGTCTAAAATATCATGCATGCAAATACTAGAAATGTGCCAAAGTGCTTAGAGAGCTAGAAACTTGTTAGATAGATATAAATATCTGCTTCGTCCTTTCATTGTTTTGAAATCAGGAACTGTTGCTTTAATTATGTCTCACCCCAGCGCCTTTAACGTTTTTCACACCTCGCCTCACATGCACAGTCCAGTTTTTGCTTAGCCATCTTCGCCATTGTGGTTTTTCTTGTATTCTCAATAACAGAAGCGAAGTCGTTGAACTAAATGTACCCTATCTCTATGGGAACTTCTAAACAGTGTCAGAAAGCTCTGGAGGCACTTATCACATCTCAGGCTGCGTAATGAGGAGGGGGCACCATGTCATCTGATAATTTCCAGGGACAGGCATTTTTTAAATACCAAACATTTCATATCTCATTTAGGGTTATTTAGTAATGCTATCTGAAATAATGATACATTTTTACAATGTCAGACTTCATTACTATCAGTGACTCAAACAAACATGGAGGGTTTAGGTTATTTTGTACTGCTGTTTATCAGTGGGTTTTCTTAGACCCCAAAAAGTTCTCTGTGAAGAATATTAGACATTATCACTGTGAGTGTGGGAGGCAGCAACGGGAATCTGCATTCTTAGCTTATAGCTTATCTGAAAACAATGCCACTGTACATTATAAGTTTACATTTTGCAATGTCTTTGGCAAGGAAGCACTTACCACAACCTGAAACACACGGCCGCAACAGCTGGTTATGTGAAATAAATGGGGTTTTGAACATAGTAAAATGTATTTAATTGCATTGCTGTATCTGTTTAATTTTAACTTTATATGTGTGTTATTTTGACCAGGATGTTAAGACCTTTTTTCATAAACCTTTATAAATTAAGTTTTTTTAACAATACGTATGGATAGTATTACATTCAAAATAGTGTAAAAATCTTACAGGAAATTGAAAGCAAATAATCTGGATATTAGACATTGATGTTGTCACTAAATGTTTAGAATTAATTGCAAAAACAAATTTAAAGTTAGTTATAAATGAGAGTAAACATGATTGTTTGTCAGGGCCATGGAGGGACTGTCAGCATGTACTGGACTCGGGGGAGGGCACCAGTGGGATATACCTTCTGCGTCCTCAGGGCACAAACCGCCTCCTCCAGGCCTGGTGTGATCAGAGCCGCGCCCAGGGGGGATGGACTGTCATCCAGAGGAGACAAGATGGATCTGTTAATTTCTTTAGGACATGGGAGCAGTATAAGGTGAATGGCACAATAACACTATCAGATTTCCTGTGGTCATGTGTTTGCGCTGCTTAGCAATAGGAAGAGCAGTGGTTCACACACTGTTAAAATTCAATATAAATTATCCAAAGTGGCAGTCATATCAATAGTAAGTTAAGTATATTTATTATATTATGCAGCGAATCCGTGTATCATTCGTTCATTCGTTTTTCAATATAAAACCAAAAATAAGAAAACGAAAAAACTACAGTTTTCTTCGTTATTTGTCTCCAAAACCAAAATGAAAAAACGGATAACGATTCGTTTTTTCTGTTTTCGATTTTGTGTTTAAATGAAGAATGGAAAAAACGGATAACGGCCGTTTCCCGTTTACGTGACTTCCGTGACTGCGATGCCGAACTTTTGCACCGCATACGGACTGAACCGGGACTGATCCAGGTCCGAGACCAGACCGAGACCAGAGCGGGACTGAGACCGGGACCAGAGCGGGACCAGACCGGGACCAGAGCGGGACCAGACCGGACTCTGAGCTTTGACTCCGAGCCTCCACGGGGTCCGAGCCTCAGCTTCGAGCTCCGGTCTGAGCCTCCGGTCTGGTCCCGGTCTGGTTCTGGTCTTGTCTCGATCTCGGTCTCAGGCCCGCTCTGGTCCCGGTCTGGTCCCAGTCTCACCGCATACGGACTGAATCAGGACGGATCCAGGTCCGAGACCAGACCGAGCTGCTCTGGTCCTCCGCGATCAAGAACCGCGGTTGATTCCGAGGTGGTGCAGAGCCTCTGACTGACGCTTTCACCCCAACGAAAACGAACCGAACTAAGAGCTTTTGGTTCAGATGGACCAGGTCCGGGACCAGACCGGGACCAGAGCGCTACTGAGACTCAGTCCCGGTCTCGGTCCCGCTCTGGTCCCGGTTTCAGTCCCGCTCTGGTCCCGGTCTGGTCCCGGTCTCAGTCCCGCTCTGGTCTCGGTCTGGTCTCGGACCTGGATCAGTCCTAGTTCATTCGTTTTTCAATATAAAACCAAAAATAAGAAAACGAAAAAACAACAGTTTTCTTCGTTATTTGTCTCCAAAACCAAAATGAAAAAACGGATAACGATTCGTTTTTTCAGTTTTCGATTTTGTGTTTAAATGAAGAATGGAAAAAACGGATAACGGCCGTTTCCCGTTTACGTGACTTCCGTGACTGCGATGCCGAACTTTTGCACCGCGTACGGACTGAACCGGGACTGATCCAGGTCCGAGACCAGAGCGGGATCAGAGCGGAACTGAGACCGAGGCCAGCGGTCCGAGCGGTTCCGTGTCATCATCTCCGCGCTGGTTCCGTGCGGGGAAAGTGAGAATGCTCTGTGGACTACAGGTCCGGACGGGCTGCTCCAGAACCGCGGCTGGTTCCGAGGTGGTGCAAAGCATCCAACTGACGCTTTCACACCAACGAAAACGAACCGAACTAAGAGCTTTTGGTTCAAATGGACCAGGTCCGGGATCAGACCGGGACCAGAGCGCTACTGAGACTGGGACCAGACCGGGACCAGAGCGGGCCTGAGACAGAGACAAGACCGAGACAAGACCGGAGGCTCAGAGCCCACGGCAGGGCCAGAGCTCGAAGCTGAGGCTTGGACCCCGCGAAGGCTCAGAGTCAAAGCTTGGAGTCCGCCCCAGTCCTGCTCTGGTCCTGGTCTGGTCCCGCTCTGGTCCCGCTCTGATCCCGCTCTGGTCTCGGACCTGGATCAGTCCTAGTTCAGTCCGTACCCGGTGCAAAAGTTCGGCATCGCAGTCACGGAAGTCACGTAAACGGGAAACGGCCGTTATCCGTTTTTTCCATTCTTCATTATAAACACAAAATCGAAAACTGAAAAAACGAATCGTTATCCGTTTTTTCATTTTGGTTTTGGAGACAAATAAGCGAAGAAAACTGTTGTTTTTTCGTTTTCTTATTTTTGGTTTTATATTGAAAAACGAATGAACGAATGATACACGGATTCAGCTGTGAGCCTTTTGCCTTGCTTGTGTTTTGATCAGTCACATCTTTATACTTTACTATACTTAATACATTTGAAACATTTCTCCAGGCTCATAACGTCATAGTAAAATACCTTGTCCTTTCTAGACTGTCAAATGTATCGAAAATCAGACTCTCAACTCTTTTGAACTGGTATTAATATGAAAAAGTCACATTCACAGGACAAAAATGAAACTTTCCTGAATAGCTTAAGAATGATCTTGAGCTGTCTCAGAACAGGTATAAGAGCACATAGACTAGCACACTGCCATGTACCACTACAGAACATACCTGGACAATTGAGGGATTTCACACATATCAGATCATGTGGTAATGTGAATGAAAGTACTATGATTTAGTGTTGAAAATCACATTTATGCCTGTTGTCTATTGTTATTCGTTAGTATTAAAATCAAGTTAGATATTTCTGCATCATAACAACACTGTTTAATTGTACATATTCTGCAAATGGACCCTATATCTGTTCATTTGATACTGAGATAACCTTGTGTTACAGCAAGGCTTCGGAAACCTGGACGGGGAGTACTGGTTGGGTCTGGAGCACTTGTACTGGCTGACCAAACAGGGCCAGTACAAGTTGCGTGTGTCTCTGGAGGACTGGCAGGGGCGACAGGTGTTTGCAGAGTACGACAGCTTCCACCTGGAGCCTGAGACAGACTGGTACCGCCTGCGTTTGGGCCACTACCAAGGGACGGCTGGGGACTCTCTCTCCTGGCATAACAACAAGGCCTTCACCACTCTGGATCGTGACAAGGACAGCTATTCAGGTTGGTTTCATTACAATTTAGTTAAAAAATGTAAATGTTGGGTTGAAACAGGTTTGGTCCATTGTTATAACTGGTTTCTTACAGTGATTGACAAGACTTCCCCTGACAGTGTGTGAAGTCTCAAAAAAGAAAGTTGTGACCTAGTTACCTTTTCAAACTAAACCATAGCAAGCTTAAAAATGTTTTCTATGGTTCATCCCTGATTAAAAACTAGTTTAGATCTGGTTATTTCATGTTTTTGATTTCTACTTGATTTTATCCTGGTATTAATGTAATTCTGAGCAGCATTGCACATTGTGGTGTATAGCCTGCCAGAATTTATTAGGAGCAGCATTTTGGGAGTAAGTGTGCAGGCTTTGTCTCATTTTCTATGTTCACTGTAGCAGTCTAGCACCAGTGATGTGTGCATACCTACACTTCTTATGATATTGTTACAATTCTGACTATTAAAATATTACTAAGGAACTAGATTATTTAACTAGATTATTTTTAATTGTAGCACTTCATTATATTACAAGGAATCAGTTTGGTAACTATTTCTTAGTAAAAGTACTTTGTGTGTGTTTCAGGTAACTGTGCTCATTTCCAAAAGGGGGGCTGGTGGTACCACATGTGTGCCCACTCAAACCTGAACGGCGTGTGGTACAGGGGTGGACACTACCGCAGCCGTTACCAGGACGGGGTCTACTGGGCCGAGTTCCACGGAGGGTCCTACTCCCTAAAGCGAGTTTCTATGATGGTTAAACCCATATAACGAGCAGCCAGAGGTTGTGTAGACCTCTTCTACTGTGCAGTGCAAAAGTCTAAGGTTATGGACATCAAAATCATTCAAACTTCATTAAACAAAAATAGATGCATGTAATTTCAATTTTGTTATACATGAATTGTATGATCATTGTTGAAAAAAAATGCTTTTTTAAAGTAGCATTCATTAATTCAAGTAAACACTGTGTAGTAATTCAATCTTTTATTTATTATAAGTTTATTGTAATCAGTACATCTTGTTTGTAAAAGTTTCAGATATTTCGTTATTGACTACTTATAGATTTGCATCCACCTTTGCACACATTAGGGTGCGTTCAAACTTACACAAACAAACAGCACATGAAAATTGGGACTAAACTGAGCCTAAACCGGGACTAAACTTGGACTCGACTGGGACTAAACCTGGACTCAACCTGGACTAAACCTGGACTTGACCAGGGCTAAACCAGGACCAAGCCCACATCAGGAATAAACTGGCCTGATATCAGGACTATAACAGGACAAGTGTGAATGGACCCTTAGAAATCATTTGCGATTTGTAGTATGTGTTCTTTATTAAGGACATGTACCAGCTGTATTGAGATATACTAAACTGTTACTACTAAAGCAATGTACTAAAATACTTGTATGTAAATGTTGGCAGTGTTTCCCTTTAATAGAGACAATAGCATTAACTATTAAATTAATAATTAAATTATAGGGTTTTATACTATTTCATACATTTTTACATAAAATTCAAATCAAGGTTGACTTTGAAAAAAAAATAGTATTGATGTTTTTTGTGTGTGTGTTTTTTAATACTAAGGACTGTCTTGTCACACAGAAATTTGTAGGAAACACTACTATGTACTGTGTTTTCAAATTGTCTACTTTCTTCTGCCCTGGTAATTGACCTGATCATTATCAATAAATTATTAAATTAAGTATTTTCCGCTGTCTGGATTATTGATGGTGACAGGAGGTGTGCATGTTTTTAGCCTGTTTAGTTGAAAAGATTGTGGTGACAGCGTTTCCGTCTGCAGCTTCCTGTTAACTAGCTGGGCGTACAGTTTCCCTTCATAGACCATTGGCGTGCCCTCCTAAACCTTTCATCTCACAAAAGCTCAGGTCAGAACCATCAAGACAAGCTCTGAGTCTGGACTGTTATTACTTTTATTAATTAAGGTGCCCCACCCTGCATCTTGTATCCTGGCACTGGCACTCTCCTCTGACCATCTCACAGCCTAATGGTAAACCAACATGCTGTTTCAGATAATGTGGGTTCATCTTCTGCTTCTGACTGTGCTCTTGGGTAAGTACCACGTGCACTTAATGTGTGCTTTTTCTCCAAATAGTTTTGAAATCTCTTGTTTAATTTTTATACAGAAACAAGTGGGGTTTGAAATTACTTTTTCAAATTGGCTTTAGTTATCTAATCACCATTGTCTTTGAATGAGATAAAAGATAAGTTTATGACCCTTTGTAACAAGATTAGAAGGCCCATTACTTTATGCCTCCTTAAATTCTGCCTTTATTTGGTACAGGTTTGTTTTACCAAATAGCAACTTTTTACTTTGTCCTGACTCTTGTAATTATGTTTATACAGGTGTATCCACTGCATGTCCTCTGATTTTGGAGCCTTATCAAAAAACGGATGACCAGATTTTTCTTAATTGCACCTCTCTAGCTGACGGGCATAAAGGCATGTACTGGAGTTATAACAATCAAACGACAAACAAGGAGTCAGAATCATACACTGAGGTGTCAATATCAGGCAGTGACAGGAATACCACGGCCAAGTGTACAATTAAACTGAATGACACCTTTGAATGCAGTAAATACATTCAACTAAAAATTTATGGTAAGTAAAACAGAAACTAATCCCCAGTATGTGGTTATATGTTGCATTTGTGGTTTTATTGTATACCTTTTTCTATATTTGGCATTATTTTATAGTGACAGTAATGCTATTTGACTCATTGTGCAGAAATATGGTTAAAACATATTAGATTTGTAAAAAAAAAAAAAAAATCTTTTAAAATGAACACTTCTGCCGAAGTGTCTTAATTTCAGGACTGCTCTGTGCTAAGTTTTTGAGTAAAATGAAAAAATAATTAAAATGTTTGCTCTATTCAGTCAAACACATCTAAACTGACGCCTTTTTAACCTTTGTTTAAAGAGGACAGAAAAAATGCAAGAGTTTCCTGGCCTTGAGGCAGCAACAACACAATAGCACACAGTGTTTACACATATACTTACACATACATCAATCTGTGTATTATAGGAACAGTCTCAAGTAAACCATTTACAGGCCGATGACTTTGTGTGATAATTAAAAGTAATATCTGAATTTTGTTTTGACAGACGTAAAGAAGATTACTGAAATTGAAAAAAAACAGCGTGAGTTCAAGTGTGATATCCCTGAGGCGGAACCGGTACAAAACCTCAGTGTTAAGTGGTTCAAGGATGAACAAATAATAGGACCAGAATCTACTCCAGAGGACATGCATGCTCCCCTGGTGTGGAATATTAGCAGAGATCATGATGGAGCCAACTTTTCTTGTGAAGCTCTTGGGCACCAGGAACCACATGGACAAGTTTATGTTTCAATGACATGGAGTTTACATGTAGAATGTGAGTAAGATCCCATTGAAATTCAGTAGGTCTTTTGAACTTATTCAAGTGTTCTAGTGGTCTTTAGAATTCATGAAAAAATTATTGTTATGAACATAATCAGTCCTGCTTTGGTTTTGGGTCCTGTTGTCCTGGTCACTGTTGGTCAGATAACTTTGCAAAACTAAAATCTGATTACTGACTACTGCTTACTTCTAAAAGTAATAATTACTACACTACTATAAGTTACTTTTTATGATTGATATATTTATTACATTTTAACAAAGAGATAACTTATACAATGTTCTGGAAAGATCACTTATAAATTACATTTAAAAAAGAAACACATGGCTCACAAACCAACTTATAACAACTTACATACATATAAAGCATGAATTCAGCACTCTAATCACTTTTTTTTTTCTTCCCAATTTGGTTTTATTTTATGTTTTTAGGCTTAAGTTAAGATGTTTTGTTTTGTTTTATTTTTTATTTTTTACATTTTAATCTACTTAAAGGTGCACTATGAAACCTTTTTGATAGTATGTTTTGTCCCCATGGAGATATTTCTAGTCAACACAATAACATCTCCATGGAGACACCCTCCATCAGAAAGGTTTCGTAGTGCAAGTGTGAAAAGTTAAAAATCCTCTCCATATTAACATATACTATTGTACCTACAGATGCCCCAAAATTTGAAGATAAAAATGAAACCACCGTGCATTTGAAAAAGAGTGGTGATACCAGTTTGGACTGTGCAACTGAGGGCAGCCCTCCTCCTGACTACACATGGTTCAAAAATGGATCAATTGTTGCAAATACACGTTATCTGAATATTATTCAAGTAAATGAGACCACAACTTATTACTGTAACGCTTCTAATCATATTGGCTTTGATACAAGAACATTTGTTGTGGCAGTATCCTCACGTTCTTCAGGTAAGCATTATATAATGTACCAGCATTTTATACCGATATCAGAAACATTTGTGCATATACACTACTTTTCTATATGTTTGCTTTCTACATTTGAAATACATAGAGAAGACATCAAATATATGAAGTAAGATGTATGGAATTATGTAACAAATAAAAAAAGGTTAAATAACTCTACTAAATATTCATATTTTATAACCATACCCTAAAACTTTTGACTAGTGCTGTTTAAACACACATGACCGGTCAAAAGTTTGAACACAGACACTGTCTCCTTCAATGTTTTGTTCATCCTTTTCTTATGTAGAAAGTAGTAAACATATAAAAAAAAAATGTTGAAAGGGAGGGTGATTCCAAACTTTTGACAAGTAGTGTTTTTAGTTTAACAATTCATTTGCTTTTTGTTTGTTTGTTTGTTTGTTTGTTCTACTGTTATTACAGAAAGTCCAATGACAATTATACCAAATGAATTATTTGTGGAATATGGTGGATCAGCTTCAGCTAACTGCAGCACCACAGAAAATATCATTGGTATGGGCTGGGAGGCTGATGAAGGTGGCATTGGCTTTACAGAGAATGTGACTTCTTTGGAGTGGAAAGTAAAGAAGGTGGGAAAATGGACCATGAAAGCGATGTGCTTTATAACTACAAAAATTGATGGACAGTATCTCAAATCAATGAATATCACCATTTACAGTAAGTACAAATATTTTACTGAAATAACAGTGTACATTTCTATGTGGTTTTGTCTTGTTGTCACCATGGACTATGGAGATTGAAAATACTAGTTTGCTGAATTGCTTTAGTGATATGTGGGATAATGGCTAGCTCTAGCTCAATTGCCTAGTTCAGAATGTTCAGAATAATATTTGATGTACTAAGAGATAAAGTATTGGATACGTGTGCATTCTGGATCCTAGGAAATTATTTCAATGAGAATTAACTGAATTATTGTGTTTGATATTGCAGAACTTCCTGACAAGGTGCAGGTCTCTCCAGAAGGCAACCACAAGCTAGTAGAGGGTCAACAACACAAATTGCAATGTAAAATTTCAAATGTAGCTCCTGTTGAGAAAGTCCAAGTAAAGTGGTACCGGGACAATCAACTCCTCTACACAGAAACATTCAATGAAATTGTCTCAGAACCACAAAATAAAACCTCAATTTTCACTCTAAGTCCTAAGAAAGAGCATAACAAAGCAAACTTTACCTGCGAGATAGAGCTACTTCTTAAACAAGGACAAAACCCAAAAGTTGTGTCAGCACCTTACACCGCTGATGTCCAGTGTATGCTTTATATTTTATTCATGTAAATCAATATAAAAATCTTAATAACAACAATGACAACAATAATACTGACTGAATGTTTATTTTTTGTATTGTAGATAAACCTATCCAACATTGTCCACTCAGTTATACCGGTAAAGAGAATGAGTTCAAGTTGGATACAGTGCCATGTAAACCCAGTGGAAATCCTGAACCTGATACTTACTGGTACTATAATGACATATTGGTCAATTCTACTGAACCTCGAACAAGAAAAGATTCAGGAACATACACAGCTATATTTAAGAATGATATTGGCAATACCAGTACCAGTGTTAACATAACTATTGAATGTGAGTCTAATTTGTACTATTATATCAAATCTGTTATACTTTACCAATTTATTTCAATTGTATACATTTTTTCACAGACGGACCATTGTTTTCTTGTGAAGACCACTATGATGTTATAGAAAAAACAAATTTTAAATCGCCATGTGAACCTGAAGGAATACCAAAGCCCAAATCTGTGTGGTTGAAGGATGAAACGCAGATGCATTTTTCAAAGCAGTGGAAAAGGCATGACAGTGGGCAATATTTAATAGCAGCAAACAGCACACTTGGAAAAGTCAACCACACACTGAGAATAAATGTTTTGTGTAGGTTGAAAATACTCAACAAAAAAAAACACACACAAAAAAATGCCTAGAAATGTGATGCATGCTTTATTTATTTTTATTTTTTTATAGATCCCCCAAGTTTAACAGAAAATATCACTCAAGAATTCCACATGGGGGAAAACCTTACCCTGAAGTGTAATGCAGATGGGAACCCACTCCCTCAGCTTCACTGGAACCACCCTAACGCTTCAAACGTAAACACCACCAGAGGGCGCCAGATTTACATTACAGAAGCCACGTCCACCAACGCTGGTCTCTACCTCTGCATTGCCACGAATAAACTTGGAAGCGTAACAAGAACCGTAACATTGATATTGAAAGGTATTATTATTATTATTACGCACAGTTGAATTTATTAAAGATTACAGTAGTTTGGCCATGGTGTGCATATTCTATCTTACTTTTATTTCTTTCTTTGCAGAAACGCACTCTAACCTCAAAAGAATTTTAATCTTTGTATTTCTACTTGCCCTTGTCCTTGCCATATTCATCCTCGTTCTAGTTTACCGTAACTACAAGAAGAAGTCTGGACAATATAATGTTATAGCGATATCTGATAGTCTACCACTGACTTCAAGGTAAAGTGTGATTTAGGACTAGTAGACTATTATTTTATGAAATAATTAAAGCAATGTCTGTAGTCATGTAGGTTTAGGCTATCAATTGTGGAATTTTGGTGGAGTTGCTCAAATTCTTTCTTTTGTTTAGGTATTTTATTTTGAAAGTTGACCTATTGAATGATTGTCCTACTGCTTTGTTTACACTTTGTATATTGGGTTACATGTCCTTTTAAAGTCATACAAGATTGTGACTCTAAATGCATTTTGTACAGTGCGCAAAGTATTTAATAATAAAATAAAGGTCATGCGTATAATTTTCTCCTATGTCTTAATTTGATCTTTTATTCAATTATTTAATTCTTAGTACAAAATATAAATGTTTCACACATGTCTACACCAAATCTACACTGACAAACTGAACTATAGAAAAACACCTCAAGTGTCAGTAGGCTAAATATGCTTCTTACATGAGGTCAAGAATCACCGTGCCGCGGCCAGTGTCGTGTAGCTGGCCCTTTAAGAATTAGGATTTGAGAGTGACGCGGATATGAAAGCTAGTTTATCCCTCTTTCCTTCTCTATGAAAAATATTTGGCCAGCCTAAACTAACGACTACCAATCTGAGATAACCAGTTAATTAAAATGTCGCTTTTCCTTCGTCGTTAAACCAGAGTCGCCGTGCATGATTTTGGAGAGGGATTTAGCTCCTCGGATTACTTGACAGGCCCGAGAACTCGCTCCCTGTTCTCCGTCTCTCCGGGATAACTTTGGATAACTTCTTTGTAGCCGAGACTGCCACTCAGCTTGGCCCAGAAGCTGAACATGGACTGGGGCACGGAGCTTTGGGTAAGTCCAACCATGTTTTTGTTGTAGTTGGTCAGTAATCAGGCTATCATCTGACAGTGCTTTCTTGGAATATCGGGAACCACTTAACTGTGCATGCTAGATCTGCTCTCTCTTTTCGTCTCATCTCACCTTCTTGGCTACATGTTGCATAACGGGATGGAGTTTTTGAGATGGAAACCCGACACTTGAATAGCCCACGTTTAAACGCTTCAGCCATTGTAAAGTGTGTTGGTAGTTGTGCGTAATATTGATCAACAATGCAAGAACCATAAAGAAAAGGTTCCTGGCGACATACACAGACATTTAATGGACTATAAACTTACGTAGGTGTCTTGAGGGATGCTTCATTGTTTACACCCACACGCACCTTGCTTCCATAGAGATGAATCTGATGATGATTTGCATTGTCACCAACACTGTCACTGGTGCCGAAGTAAAATATTGTTTTAAGCAAGGAATTCAATAAGTATTAGCCAGCCTACTTGGGGTAGCCTAATTTTAGCTTTCCTGGAAAAAAAAAAAAAAAAAAAAAAAACAAAAAAAAACCTTTGTTATTAAATCTGTGTGATATTTTAATTTCTAGTTTATGGGCAAATATGTATTCAGAACTAGGCGTTTGGTCCTATTTTTATTACACTTTTGATTACAAGAGCATAAACATTGAAGATGTTTATGCTCTTGTAATCTACTCTTAATTGTCTTTAGGCTATGCAAATTACTTTAATTTCAAATTGGGTGTAACTTTTGTCTTCAGTCTAGACTTTCGGAGCATCATTATCAGGTTTAATTACATTTGTGGGGAATGTCAGTGACAATGGTGATGGCTCCTTTTTAACACATGTTATTTTTTCCACTGGTAGACTTTAAACACCAGAGAAAGTCCTGCATATAGTCTGCACACCATTGCATCTAGCTATGTTTACAACTGCCACAAAACCATGTAATCCCGTTTACCTTGATGCCTGGCGCCGCTTATGCCACTTAACCGCAGCAATAAGCTCACACGCTGGCAGCAGACATTCACGGGCACCCTGGATATGTAAACTGGAGCAACGCAAGATGAGGACAGGGAGGTTGTGGCCTCGTTACAAACTCTCCCCCCTAGGCCCCTTCACTGTCCCCTTTCCATCCTACTCACTGATGGTGCTACAGCCTAATTAGTTTTGCCCTACTTTGATAGTCATTGCTGCTACACACATCTATCTACTCATAACATTGTCGCCAGGCGTTTTACAATCCTTAGATCTTCCACTATAGTTGTTATACTGGTTTAAAGCCACAGCCCAATTTGTGCTTGCTTTTGTGTAGTTTTTAGACATTGTCAAAGCTGAATCTTCTTTCATACGTAATACACTTTCACGTGTTGTCATTAATTGCTTGTTAAGTATTTGTCTGCAAATGTCCTCCCTTGGGCCAACTCAACTCTGTGGCATCTGCCTCCTTGATTGTTGTTAATCCAAAGGCTATTTTAAGATCTCAGCATTAGCCTGTAATAGTGAGAGAGAGAGTGCAACTGGTGAATGAGAGCTACAGCGCGGTAGGTTTGGCTTCGTAGTGACTCAGGACTGAAATATCTACCAGCCTCAGACCTGACTGGGACTTATAGGGTGACTCTTTTTGAAGTTATGTTCTGGTTGTGTGAAAGCAGTTTTGTCTGTGGGATTACTGGAAACACTGGGAGATAAATGAAACCAGGCTCTCTAGATGTTTAGGCTCAAGTTTTTTTTACAAGATAGGAGTAACTTTTGAATGAGCCACATGTTGGTTAATTATTACTTAAAGATGATACTAACTGGACTGTGTATTAACTAGGGGCGCACATTAAAATCTCACTCTTATGATGTTTCCTCTAAGATTCACACTGTAATTATTATCAGACATCAACGCATTTGCTGTTTAGTCCCCTCTTTAAGAATTGTTGTTGTGTCCATGAGCAAGTCACTGAATCAACCTGCAGATTATTATGAAACAGATAATGCTTCAAAAAGCAATCTTGCTTGTCAAATGTATTGCATTTTAAAGTGAGAAAGACAATCGGCTAATGAGGGTGTAAGGATAGTCACATGGGATATAATTTATTGTTTCCTCTAGACTGTAATTTTGTAAACAAATAATCTGCACATGCCATGTTGTGATGGGTGCCCTTTGGGTTGTTTGATTTTTCAATCACCACACAAACAGAGTCTATCATGACTGGCTCTGTTTGTTTAAGATTGGGCACAGTGAGTGAGGGCTTTTCAGTGTAAATATTTGATGGAGAGTTTGCTGTGGCTGCCCCCCTTGTGTCAAGTGATGTTTGCTGACCAATCCAAATCCCAGAATCTAAAATGCAAATAGCTGCATGCAAAAATACCTGTATTAAAATAACTGTAAAATACCCGCCTGGCCTGCTTGTATATTGTGTTGTTTTGAATTTAGTTTAGATTTTCATTTTGGGTTATTGCTGATGCAACCATCAAGAGTTTCTCTTCCTTCTTGAACAGACAGAATTGTGGATAAGTGGTTAATTCAGGCCAACTCATCAAAATGAAATGGATCAAATGAAAATTATGAATGTTAGGTGTTTGTGACACTTTTCTCTGAAATGTAAAAAAAATAAATAAATAAAAATCCTTGAAAACAAATGTCCTTTGCAAATTACTGCCTTTAACGTTTGTCCTATTAATGAAGCCCCCAGTGTTTCTCTTTGTTCTTTACTTAAGTGTGATTGTAGTGATAGATGGCAGACTCCAGACCTGCCCAGAACTGTGTTCTGTAATTAGACTTCACATTACCTCATTCATCTGGTCTTTTGTTTTACCTGAAGGGCAGGATAAGGGTATGTAAAGCAAGGCCCGACCTGTCAGGAATCCCCCTTTAAATACAAAGGCCAACAACACAGACCTGAGCAACAGTGTAGAGCAATGAGCATCGGCTCTTGATCAAGTTTATTTAGATAGCTATGTGGGCCTAAATCCCTTTTCTAAACCATAAAAACATAATATTGTAATGTCACAGAGGATGTGTGATGCCAAAATTAACTTTTTGTTTGGACAGTACAGTGACACTACGCGCACACGCACACACACGCACACACACACACACACACACACACACACACACACACACACACACACACACACACACACACACACACACACACACACACACACACACACAAAAGGACAAAGTACTACTGTTTGCATTATTGTAATGTGTGATATTGTTCAATAATATTCTTACTCACAATAACAAGTGTGATGTATTGCTTCATTATATTATGATAAACGATAATATTAAAACTAATTTATACCCCTAACACAATAACCCAGCTCATATTGTTCTTTCTGTCACATATTGAATGATATTGTAATGCTTGTGAGCTGTGACAGGTTTAATTCTTAACTGGAATACATTACAGTCATTAAATTATAAGACAAACATGAGGAAGAGGGAAACAGCATAGCTTTTCCTTGAAGAACATCTTTTGCTTGGCTAAATATTGCTGTGTTTGCAAATGAAAAATTGGACCTTTATCAAAACATGTGGAGAGCCCAGATGTGTGATCTTTATTTGACCAGAGCCACCTCACAGTTATGAGTTGCCACATGCTCTGACTCCATCCTGCAGTATAATGTCTTTTCCTTATTTGTATCACATGCCTTATGTCTTCTCCAGGACCAATACGACATCATTGAGAAGCACACGCAGTCAGGCCTGGATCTGGTGGAGAAATATGTCAAGTTTGTGAAGGAAAGAACTGAGATAGAACAAAACTATGCCAAACAACTGAGGTAAGACCCCCCTTTGCCTGAGCCTCAGATTCTTGTGTGTTGATTTGTGATGGAAGCAGCGCATATTTTAACACTGTTTATTAAATGTTTTCTCCTGTCTTGTGACTGCGTTGGGACAGAATCAAACTTGTCTGAAACACTAGACTCTTTCTCCAGCTGCAGTCCCCCCCCCCCCCCCCCCCCGTTGTCCCTATCCCTGCTCGCCCCTCCCAGGCCCACATCTGCTGTGCTCTGGCGCTGAATGGAGGAAGTGGGAGCAGACTGGCACATGATAGACAGGAAGTGGTTAGAAACAGTGAGGAGGACCAATAAGAGAAAAGAGGCTGTTTTTATAGTGGATTTATAGTTGTATTGTGTCTTAATTTCTCTCATGTGTCTTTCTGTTAAACCCACAAACTGACATGTATATATTTTACCACCAACAGAAACCTATCAAAGAAATACAACGTGAAAAGAAGCAGCAAAGATGAACCAGACTGCAGGTGAGCCATGATGTTTGCCACCACAGCTATTGTGCTCTTTTAACAGAAAAGAAAGTTTAATTCCTCTTTAGTAAAACTGCAAAGGAGATCTATTGAAAAACAGTAATGAAATGCCTAACTGCTCTTATTTATCATAGGGTTAGTTTTCTCAAGTTTCCTACACAACATGCAAGTAGATATTCTAGCATACTGTTCTCTTCTGTTCTGTCTGGAAAGGCT